TATAAAAACTCAGAAGATGCGTGTAGGTTCACTGCTGGTTTTGGATAGTAAATAAAATGACTTTATTTGTGTTGTAGACAAGGCGACCCCTGGTTCCTATCACCACCACTGTAGAGAAATCTGTAGGTTTCTCTGCAAAGAACCACTTCACATTAAACCACTCTGAATGACTTTGTTTACATCAATACAACAGAATAGTGCAGAATTTTTGAAAAATCAGTGGAATTTCCCTTTAGTGGCTACAGTGCTAATAGGAGTGGCATAAGCTTGCATTATTTGTTAACTACATTAGCCCCAAATGTGTTTTGAGCTGCTTTTGAGTTGTAATAAATGGTAATAAGTGTGCCACTACGGGTGGTTGATATGTTTGTGGAAGTTTGGAATCAGGAATCACTGAATTTAAACGGTTCCTCAGGTTCCACCATCCAACCTCTGCTGCATACACACAGCAGTGCTGTAATTGAGTGTTCATGGAGAAGGAATGGGTATGGGGGGTGCGGGGGGTGGGGGGCAGTGCTGATAAAGATAGATGCAGCTGAACAAGTGCAGCTGGGAAGAAAACAAGTGTGTCCATCAATCTTCACTTTTACTTCAGCACGTGGCCTCTCTTTCGCTCTGACCACCCAACCTCCATTCCATCCTCCATTCCTAATAAACTGATGCCTCCATTCTTTAATTAGTCAGTGTGATATAGATTTAATAGCTATGCAGAGCCGTAGAAGGTTCAGATTCAAGTTGCTTGGCTTACAGAACCAGTAGCCCGTGACCTTTAACTAGCGTTCTGTGGACTAGAAAATTTCTCTTGCCCTAGATACAGATACAAGATCAGCTCTGAACTTTCCCTGGCCTTCTTAGTTCTTCTCCATCCAGAGTAAATAAATGAGCGGTCGCCGTCCTAACAGGACTTGGGGATTCTCAGAAAAGAGCGTTTTGAGGCTTCATTCTGCAGTTTCTACTAGCACATTGTAAGATGAACAGTATTGCAAGTAATTCCAAAAGAGTTGGGACGCTGTACAAAGTGTAAATAAAAACAAAATGCAATGATATGCAAATCATTTAAACTTGTTTTTTGAAAAATATATGCCCATTTCGAATTTTATGCCAAAAATACGTTTCAAAAAAGTTGTGACGGGGGCATGTTTACCACTGTGTTTCATCACTTCTTCTTTTAACAGCACTCTGTATGTGTTTGGGAGCTGAGGAGACAAATTGCTGTAGTTTTGAAAGTGAAATGTTTTCCCATTCTTACTTAACATTTCAGAGACAAGATTCAACAAGATTTCAGCTGCTGAACAGTTCGGGGTCTCTTTTGTCATATTTTTCATTTTATAATTTGTGTCAAATGTTTTCAGTGGTGACAGGTCGTGACTGTAGGCAGGCCAGTTTAGCGCCTGGACTCTTTTAATACGGAGCAATGCTGTAGTAATACATGCAGAATGTTGTTTGACATTGTCTTGCTGAAATAATCAAGGCTTACCCTGTAAAATGTTGATGTTGGATCACAGGACACTTTTCCACTTCCCCTCAGTCCATTTTAAATGAGCTTGGGCCCAGAGAAGGTGGCAGCATTTCTGGATTCTGTTTATAAATGTTTTTTTTCTTTGCATTTAAGAGTTTTATTTAGCATTTGTGGATGCAGTGATGAACTGTGTTCACAGACAGTGGTTTTCAGAAGTGTTCCTGAGCCCATGCAGTGATTTCCACTACAGAATCATGTCTGTTTTTAATGCAGTGCCACCTGAGGTTCTTTGCTATTTTACGTTGAGAAACGTTATTCTTGAATTGTTGCACTGTTTGATCGTGCAGTCTTTCACAGAGTGGTGAACCCCTCCCCATCTTTACTTCTGAAAGACTCAGCCTCTCTGAGATGCTCTTTTTATGCCCAATCATGTTAGTGACCTGTTGCCAATTAACCACCAGGTGTTTTTCTTTACCAGCTCTTTGTTGTCCCTGTCCCAACTTTTTTGGAACTTGCTGTTGGCATCAAATTCAAAATGGGCATATATTTTTTAGAAAACAACAAAATTTCTCAGTTTCAACATTTAAAATGTTGTCTTTGTACTATTTTCAATGAAATAAAGGGCTTAAAAGTTTTGCACATTATTGCATTTTGTTTTCATTTACATTTTTCACAGTGTCCCAACTTTTTTGGAAATGGGGTTTGACAGCTATCCCATCGGGTTGAACGGACAAAAGTACTGTAGGGCAAATCAGAAGTTTAATGATGGTTACAGGAGGAATGTGCCACAATGTACAGTGCACGTATGGGGCATAGCCGCAGATTGATCAGAGCGCCCATGCTGACCTCTTTTTTTGTTGAAGGCGGTCAACCCCTTCATGGCAATGGTGTTCACTGATGGTGGTAGCCTCTTTAGCAGGATAATGTGTCCTGCCACACTTTATACATTGTTCAGGAAAGTTTTGAGGAACATGCTGAAGAGTTCAGGGTGTTCTCTGGCCTCCAAACTCCCCAGAATTCAATCCGATCAAGTATCTGCGTGCTGGAACAAGTCCGATCCACAGCAGCTCCACCTCGCAACTTACAGGACTTAAAGGATCTGTTGCTGATGTCTTGGTGCCAGATACTACAGGGCACATTCGGCAGGTGGTCGTAATGTTTTGGCTAATTGGGCTTTATTGGTATAACGAATATGGCAAATGTAGTGTATAGATACAATTGTCAGAGCATTAACACCCCCCTCTCTCTTTCTCTCTCTCTCTCTCTCTCTGTCTCTCTCTCTCTCTCTCTCTCTCTCTCTCTCTGTAGCCAGTTCATCTGGCTCAGATCTCTTTCTTAGTAAAGGCCTTCGGGACGCCTTTCATTCTGGACCTGGAGCTCAACCAGTAAGTACATTACTTTTTGGATTCTAACAAACACAAGAGTAAAAGAGAATTCTGACCTTCAATTGGACTTTACTTATTATTACTTACACACTAGGGGGCAGTGAGCACACTTGCCCAGAGCAGTAGGCAGCCCTATCCACAGCTCACAGGGAGCAGGTGAGGGTTAGGTGCCTTGCTCAAGGGCACTTCAGTCACATACTGTCAGCTCAGGGGATCAAACCAGCGACCTTCCAGTCACAGGGCTGGTTCCCTAAACTCCAGCCCACGACTGCCCCAAACACATGATGAGTCCGGGGATCGAACCCGGGCCCTGTTGGTGAAGCAGTTTTTAGTTAAAAAAATCGTTATTATTGATTATCCCCCTCCCTCCCCAAAAAAAAACAATAAATACATGCGGTCCTATGCAGCTTTGACGCACTTTATATTTTATTTTCAATGTACCTGCTTTTGTTGAACAATAACTGTTTTCATGAAAGCGTTTAATAAATCCACATATTAAACCATATAATGGTGGCATCTTTTAAAAACTACTCCACCTGTCGTTATAGATGTAAGTGCAAACAGGTGTATTCATGAGCTTCTTCTGGTGTAGATTTATGGCGACTTGCATGCTAATAGCGCTCCCTGCTGGAGAAACGTCAGACTGCAAGTGGTTTCCAAAGCCATGTTCATTCGCCATGCGTGTTACAAAACCAAGGCACTCTCTGTTATTACAACAGCGTTTTCATTATTCAACTAACCACAGACACACAGAAGCTATACAGAAAATACTGCAAATTTTTTTATTTCTTTATTTTATTTTATCATTATTATTTTTACATTTTTATTAGACCAGTGAGGGATTTAATCTACCGTAGCCTTTTAAAGGCCCCTTTACACCTAGTGTTTTAACAGTAAAAGTGAATAAAACATTATGCGTACATATTGTTTAATATTATTTATTACCATTTTCTGATTCTGTTTTGCTCAGAGGAACCTTCTTTACTTCTAAAAGTTTAAGGTTTAGAGCCAGCTGCTTTAGGGTGATACCCAGTCATTTTAGCCTGGCTGATTTACTGCTGCGAGTCACGCTGAAGCAAGTTGATGTTCCAAAGAATGTCTGCATTTATTTTCGGTTCCATGCAGTCAAGCTAAACTTAACATAAAGTGAAATAAGTAGAACGGAAAGAACCGTAGGGGAACTGACAGACAGATTCTTAACAAACATCTCTCTCTAATTCTCTCTCAGTTCTTTTCCCAAAATGACAGTTATCATCGGTTACTTGTCCATCATTGATAGTATCTGATTACATCGCCCTGTCGCCCAGGCCTAGAGATAAATGATGCATCATAAAAAATGCAATTACAGAGAGCCTGTAGAAAACAACAACAGCAAGCAGTGAGTAGTATAAACTTACAGAGTACTTGATTGGATGGCAGCTCATTCTGCCATTATGTTATTCATTTTTAACAATTGTTTGATTTTTCCTGATGTGTATAATTCAGAATAAAAGTGGATATCATTGGGTTCATGTTTTTTTCAGTGTTTTTTATGTAGGACTACTGTTTTGCTGGTGCATTTTCTAATATCTAACTGATGGTGTAACAAGCTGTGCAAGTGGGGCAGTTGCAAGATCTTAATTGGATCACTTGTATTTCTACAGTAACTACAGAAATTTAGAATAGACTTTAAATTTTAATTTAAATTTTAAAATAAACTTTACCCATTAGCCTAGATTAGAGCACAGACTTGGTTGAGACATGATGGTGAGTAAACAAGCAAATTCCTTATGGGGGTGTTTAAATTCTTTTGCTCTGGGAAACTTTAAAACAGTTCTTACATTTATAAAACATGCCCTTTGAATGCTCTGGTTATCGGATATTGTTAGACATTATATCGTTTTCAGGCTTTATACAATTTTTGTGGACAAAGTTCAGATGTGATTCTATAGTTTGGGCCAAAAAAAAAACCTACATGCTAAAATAATTAATGGACATCCATAATGTGTACATTTAAAACACTTTGTATCACTACTTTATTACAAAATTTATGACTACATCTGTCCAGCTGTTATTAAGATTACTGAGTGCTGTATGAATTGTGTTTATGTTTTTCTGTTTGCAGTGATCTCTTGTCTTCAGACTATGTCGAACGACATTTTGGTGAAGACGGAACACCATCTCAAAATCAGGTAGTTGTTAGTTTTCACAACAATATCTTTGCATTGTAACATAGGTTATACAAATACAACAAAAGTTCTAAATTCGGTCTGTTATGCTATATAACTTTTAAAGTGCAGCAGTGAGTAATGTTGTTTATTTGATGTTTGTTAATACCGTGTTTAGGGGACAAGTAATGTTGTTTATTTGAGCCAGAGCTCTGTATGTCATCAGTTGGGAGCTTCTGTATTACAGCTATAATGTTAAATAGCTAACCAGCCACTTTAGGCTTTTACTTTAATAATTACAAGCAACAAAACTGAAATTGTTATTTATTTGTCAATTAATCTTCAGCTAACCTATCATAACACCCTCTCATACAATATTGCTTTTCACCTGAACTGAAGTACAAGTTTCGTAGGTTTACTGACAGACTTCTGTAACCACAGAAACCTGCTTTCCTGCATGAAAATTCATCAAATCGCTTTGCCGGCCACCGTAATACACCACGGTGGTGAAGTGCTCTGGTCAGACACCAGATGGAGGGACACACACACACACACACACACCAAACTCAAAAGCAAAGTGGCCTCTAAACAACCGCCCACACACTCTACCTAGCTGTAGGGTCCTCTAGTAAAAAAGTCATCCTGTACAGTACATTAGAACATTGAGTACAGCCGTAATTCAGTTAGAGTTCAGACAGAATTCAGGTTTGAAGATGACAACTACTACTGTTTTAACTATGCACTGTACTTTTGTCCATGTTTATAGATAACACTATATCTTACAGCATTTAATATTGTAATTCATATTAAAAAGTAATGAACCCCTTCAGACCTTCGTGGAGACACTTCCACCTTTGTATACTTTTGTATTTTGCACTTTTTTTTGTTTTTTTGGCAGAATAATAAAGTGTTACATACCCCAGATTCAGCACAACCTCAGCTCATAAAATGTCATTTAATAAATTTGGCCTAAAATACAAGTTATTGTGAAGTTTTTACTTCTTTTTATTTTCAGTTATGCCCTTTTCTCAGGGCAGTGTCCCTCTGCGCTCCTATGGACCACTGCTTATATATATATATATATATATATATATATATATATATATATATATATGTACACACATATATATATATTAAGGTTCTCCTGGTAGTTTCTCTCTAGCTTACACTACAGAGGAGCAATGAAGTTTTAAAGATAACCTGGTATTTTGTCTTGTTGATAGGACAAGTTCTAAAGGGTTTATTTTGCTCTGTTTGGCTGGCTTTATATTGTGAAACTTTCATGCAACTAGTTGTATGTTGTGAGTTGCATGCAACATAATTTCTATGCAACTTGGTAGTTACATGCAGCTATCAAAGTTGCAACTTGTTCAGTAGCAGCTCGTATTTTTGAGACATCATATCGCTCTCGCTTTAGTCATTAACAAGGTGTCATCAACATATCTGCAGCATTTTTTAAATCTCATTTTTTAAATCCAGCTATCATTGATGTTTGTTTTTTCTATAATCTGTATATATCTACATCTATATATATTATGTGTTATATACATATATAATATATCCATAATCCGTCTTTTCACTGTATTACTGTGTTTTTATATTTGAGTTTTCAATCTGTTCAGTGTATATTAAGCCTTTGAAAATGAGTTTATTTGATGTGTTTAATTAGTCACTATGATTGTACTTGAAGCCTCGTTCATCCTAGAAGCACTGCAGGTTCATCGAGGAGCGCATCTCACTCTCTCCTACACACACACACACACCCATACACACACACACACACCCATACACACACACACACACCCGTACACACACACACACACACTACTTCTGAATCTCTTGTGTTGATAGAAGCAAAGAATTCTGGGAAACCATCCTTCCGCCCCTCCCACCGTGTGCTGTAAAGCCCACACGCCTACACACAGCCAATGAGAGTGCTGTTGCCATGACAACTGGCAACAGGCAGCTCAGCTTTAACTGACTGAGAGAGAGAGCAAGAGAAAGACAGAGTGTAAAGGAGAGGGAGTGGGTAGAGATATATATGCACACTATATGGCCAAAAGTATGTGGACTCTCCTCTTGATTATTGAGTTTAGGTGTTTCAGCCACACTAATAGCTAACAGATGTATAAAATGAGGCACATAGACATGCAACCTCCATAGACAAATTTCAGCAGTTGAATGGGCCGTACTGAAGAGCTTAGTGACTTTTGGTGCCAACTTTGCCATAAGTCAGTTTGTGAAATTTCTGCCCTGCTAGATCTGTCCCAGAGAACTGTAGGTGCATCTAAATGGTTGACTCGTCAGACCACGATAGATGTCTCCAAAGTGCATGAGCCCATTTCAGATTAGCTTTAGCCCAGAGAAGTCGGCGGCGTTTCTGGGTGGTGTTGATATATGACTTCCACTGTGTACAGTACAGTCTTAACTTGCATTTGTGGATACAGTGATGGACAGTGGTTATTGACAAAAGTTTGTCAAATTCTCAAGCCCACGTGGTGACATCCATCACAGAAACATGCTTGTTTTCACAGCAGTGCCATCTGAGGGATAGAAGGTCAGTTGTGGTTTTTGGCTTTTTTGCTTATGCACAGAGATTTCTTCAGGTTCCCTCAATATTTTGATGTTATTATGCACTGTAGAGGGTGAAATACCTAAAATCTTTTCACTTGCTTGTTGAGAAACATTGTTCTTAAACAGTTGGATTTTTTGCTGATGCATTATTGGAAGAGTGGTGAGCCTTGGCCCCATCCTTAAAGGACTAGGCCTTTCCTGGTTTCTTTTTTCATACCCAAGCATAACTGCATCACCTGTTTAAGATGTTGTTTGAACGTTTCACAACATTCCTAGTTTTAAATTGCCCCTGTCCCAACTTTGTTGCAACATGTTTTAGGCATCAATATCAGAATAAGTGTATATTTACGAAAATAATGAAATCGATGAGATAAAACATTACATATCTTGTCATTGTACTGTTTTAATTGATCTGTTTTCAGATTTATAAATCATTGCTTTCTCTTTTTATTTCCATTTTAAATATATTATTTTAACAACTCGACACAGTTTAAGGTTAACATTTGATGATTTAGGCATGTAGTTAACCCAGTGCTAATTGGTGTACATAAGCCTCTATTACTTCTTAGCATCATTAGCCTAATAGCTCCAGTCTAAAACTAAAGAACTAAACTTACCACAGAAAACAAACTTGTCTCCACTGATCGACTTGGATTTTTTTTGGGGAGGTGGGTAACTGGGTAAACGATATTTTTGACAGAACTGTCTCTTCTGAAGGATGAACCTGTTCTCACACACCAGCTGTAGCCGCTCGCACCACTGACACTGTTTCACAATACAAACGGCTGCAAGTGTGTGGGCGTGTGCTTTCAGGCTACTTAGCACCATGTGAGTGTGTTTGAGTCTGTGTGTGTGTGTGTGTGTGTGTGTGTGTGTGTGTGTGTGTGTGTGTGTGTGTCCATCTGGTGTTTGACCTGAAGCGTTCAGCCACCGCGGTGTGTTATGGCGACAAGATCTGATGAATATTAATAAGAGAAGGAAGGTTGCCTTGGTTACGTGTGTTTATCAAGTCTAGATTTTTAATGTTTATTATGACTTTTGGTGGTACATTTTGTAGCTTTCGCTGAGCCTATCTGACTTTTAGTGTACTGTGTGGACCACACGCACATGTGTAATTGGATGCACCCCTGGTCAAATTACATGTTTTGTTGATTTTTTAAAGTGAAAGACAACCCCATTTTCAAAACAGTTGGGTCACTCTGAAAAATGTAAATAAAAACAAAATGCAATGATGTGCAAATCATTTAAACCCCATATTTCATTGAAAATGCTTCAAAGACAACATATCAAATGTTGAAACTGAGAAATTGTATTGTTGGGACGGGGGCAACAAAGAGCTGGTAAAGTTGTTTAATGCTTAAAAAAAACACCTGGTGGTTAATTGGCAAAAGTCTGTCAGAAGTAAAGATAAGGAGGGATTCACCACTCTGTGAAAGACTGCGCGATCAAATAGTGCAACAATTCAAGAATAACTTTTCTCAACATAAAATAGCAACATAAAATTGCTTTTCATCATCTACAGTACATAATAACATTAAAAGATTCAGAGAATCTGGAGAAATCTCTGTATGCAAGGGACAAGACTGAAAACCAGTATTTGCTGGCCATGATCTTTGGGCCCTCAGGCAGCACTGCTTTAAAAACAGACATGATTCTGTAGTGGAAATCACTACTAATTAAAACTCTTACATGCAAAGAATAAAGCATATATAAGTAGGATCCAGAAATGCTGCCATCTTCTCTGGGCCCGAGCTCATTTAAATGGACTGAGGGGAAGTGGAAAAGTGTCCTGTGGTCCGACGAATCAACATTTGAATTTCTTTCTGGAAATCAGGGACACTGCGTCCTCCGGGCTAAAGACCACTCAGCTTGTTATCAGTGCACAGTTCAAAGTATTCATGATGGTATAGGAGACCATTAGTGCACATGGCATGAGTGACGTGCACATCTGTGAAGGCACCATTAATGCTGAACGATATATACATGTTTTGGCAACATATGCTGCCATCCAGACGACGTCTTTTTCAGGGAAGGCCTTGATTATTTCAGCAAGACGATGTCAAACCACGTTCTGCATGTATTACAACAGCATGGCTCAGTATTAAAAGACTCCGGGTGCTAAACTGGCCTGCCTGCAGTCCAGACCTGTCACCATTGAAAACATTTGACACATTATAAAATGAAAAATATGACGAAGGAGACCCTGAACAGAAACTGTTGAGCAGCTGAAATCCTGTATCAAACAAGAACAGGAAAATATTTCACTTTCAAAACTACAGCAGTGTCTCCTCAGTTCCCAAACACTTACAGTGTGTTGTTAAAAGAAGAGGTAATGAAACACCGTGGTAAACATGCCCCCGCCCCAACTTTTTTCGAATGTGTTGTTCATCAAATTCAAAATGGGCATATATTTTTCCAAAAACAATAAAATTTCTCAGTTTCAACATTTGATATACTAAATATATATATATTGATATATATTAAATACAAGGTTTAAATGATTTGGATATCATTTAATTTTATTTTTGTTTATGTTTTGCACCGTTTGTTACATTTGGTTTAGTAAGTTTACATATCCTCTGCAGAGAGCACATTAAATATAACTTTATTCTTCTGCAAATTTTAGTGTAGTATTTCTATTTATTTGCTGAATTGAACATATTGAGAAAAAAAAGTATAAAGTATAAAATATAAAAATTGCCAAAACTTTTGCACAGACCACATTATAGGTTTTATTTTTTCCCAGTATTTTAAGTCAGCAAATAAACAGTAATTGTGCATGAAAATGTGCAGAAGTTTGTTTCTGTTGTACACGTTTTAATGTTAGAGTCGCTCATACTTGAAGTAGGACAATACAGCTTAATGGAATGAGCTTGATTTTGGCCACAGAGAATACAAGTAAATAAACTCCAGCAGTGGAATGGGCTGTACTAAATAGCTCAGTGACGTTAGACACGGTGCTGTAAACAGATATATGTGAGTTGTGAGCGTATTAATGGAATGTTGTGTTGTTGTAGGGAGGAGAGCATTGTTACTATCATGGCGTTCTCAGAGGACTGAAAGGATCCTGGGCTGCTCTCTCCACCTGCCATGGTCTCTGGTAAGCACCAACACTTTCTACTACCTTTTAGATTAACTTTAAGATCTTTAAGCATACATGCAACACAGTCCAAATAAGGTCATGAATCATAACACAACGTATTATTAGTTTAATTGCATTTTTGTTTTGTTTTTTATTTACCTGGCCACTCCTCCCCTATAGCTCCACCTGGAAAGACCTACCCTTTAGCTCCACCGTGCTGGGTTACAGTTACATGCTAAATCTATATCCATGACAATTTACTGTAAATGATCAGTACAATCAATTTCTTCACTCCTTCAATAGAAAGTTCTGTTAAATCACAGTAGATGTTTTTGATAACAATTTCCAAATAAAAAATATTCCATAAATGTTCTGTTTTATGTGTAAAACTTACGTGTATGTCTTTTAATGCTAGTGTTTACCAGAATTTACAAGACAGCAATGACTTGCAGATCCCTTTTGGCCCATAACAGTTCAAAACAGTACAAAGACAGGACATTTCGTGTTTCAACTAATTATCTTTTTTGTTTTTTGGATATACATTTACTCTAAATTTCATGCCTGCAACATGTTCCAGAAGAGTTGGAACCTTCCTTTTAACAGTGTTCAGTAATCATTTAGGAACGGAGGACATGAATTGTTGTAGTTGTGAAAGTATCATTTTTGGCCGTTCTTGTTTGATAATGCACCACACATTTTTAGTGTGAGACAATTCTGGACTGCGGAAAGGCCAGTCTAGCACCTGCACTTTCTTACTACCAAGCCATGCTGCTGAAACAAACAGGGACATCCTTGAAAAAAGATGCTGTCTTGATGGCAGTGTGTTGTTTAAAAATGCGTATATACCGCTCAACATTAATGGTGCCGTCACAGATGTTCAAGTTACTCATTAACACACCCACATGACAGACACTGACTTTTGAACTTTATACCGGTAACAGTCATGATGGTCCTTCTCCTCTTTGGCCCGTAGAACACGACCTCCGTTATTTCCAAAAACAACTTGGAAGGTATACTCGTCAGACCACAGCACACGTCTCAGATGAGCTTTAGCCCAGAGAAGTTGACGGTGTTTCTGGGTGTTGTTGATATATGGCTTCTGCTTTATGTAGAGTCTTAACTTGCATTTGTCGATGCAGGGACTGACTGTGTGAAAGTGGTTAGTGAAAGTTAGTGAAAGTGGTTTTACGAAGTATTTCTGAACCCATCTGGTCATGTTAGTTACAGAAGCATGTCAGTTTTTAATGCATTGCCATCTAGGGTATCGAAGTTCATGGGCAGTCACTATTGGTTTTCAGCCTTGCTCTTTTTACACAGAGATTTCTCCAGATTCTATGAATCTTTTAATAATATTATGAACTATATATGATGAAATCTCTAAATTCCTTATAATTATGTGTTGAGAAACATTGTTCTTAAACTATTGGACTATTTGCTCACACTGTTTTTCACAAAGTGGTGACAGCCTTTCATAAATGCTCCTCTTATATCCAATCATGGTTGCATCACCTGCTACCTTTTTACCTGTTTACCTGTAGAAAGTTCCAAAAGCATGTTTTTGATCATTCCACAAGCTTCCTACTCTACCATTCCTTCTTGGATGTGATGCAGGCGTCATTTTTTTAAATTAGCACATGATCACAAAAAACAGTGAAGTTGTTAAGGTAAAATATTAAATATCTCTTCCTTGTGCCGTTTGCAGTTAAACACCTGTACTAGCCATTTTACAAATCATTGCTTTCTGTTTTTATTTGCATTTTACCTGCTGTCCTGCTGTAGTGTGGTGGTCTTAAGTTCATCACACCAGACACCTGGAGACATTCAGAAACATTTTGTGAAGCTGCTGAATGCTAAAAACTTTCTGAAAGTCATAAGAGTGACTGCTTAGCTTGTTAGAGCCACAGGATGTCATTTGAGTGACCTTCTGGCCACCACAGTGCTTCTGACCTTATAAAGTGTCTGGTTAACTGTGTCATCTCAGTGCTTATGAAAAGGTGATGTGTCTCATTGTCTTGCTCCGTGCAGGGGAATGTTCTCTGATGGAAACTTCTCTTATGGGATTGAACCCGTCCAGCACTCCGACATGCAGGTCAGTGCTTGTGTAATGGTCTGTCTGCTGAAACGTTAATCTGTCTCTCTCTCTCTCTCTCTCTCTCTCTCTCCGTCTTTCTGTCTCTTGTTCTCATGCCTAAAGCGGAGCGTTACTCTATCTGTCAGTTACAGTACGGAAAAAAAAAATCAGTTGATACACAATCCCATGCTAACATTGTGCTGAGTGCAAAGAGCTCCTCTACACCTCTGCAGACAAAGATGGATGAAAGAGGGGAGAAAACCACAATCATTTTCGCCCCACACACTGCAGGCCATACGTTCTTAACCTTGAGCTTTTTAACCCCATTTAGTTTTCATGTTTTTAAAGGGGAATTCCACCGATTTTTCAAATTGCCTGTATAATTCAATGTCTGAGATGTAAACAGAGTCATTCAGTGTGTTTTGATGTGAAATGTGCTCGTTGTGGAGAAACTTACTGGCTTCAGTGGTGGTGATAGGAACCAGGGGTCACAGTGAGTGCGTTTACATGCCATTAATAATCCGATAACTGCAGAAAATCAGATTTTGTCAGTAATCTGATCAACACGTTTACATGTCCTTGAGTAATCAGATAACGGGGAAACTCTAGGTCTACATGAGTCAGACAGTAAACGTTTCTGGCTTGAAATCAGCAAAACTCACAGAAGAAGACGTGACATAAACGTAACATGAACTCAAACTTCATTGCGCCACTTTACTTGAAAATATGAACATACATCATTTAGGAAATAAAGAATATTTAAATCCCTCATTTCATCAAGGATGTATTTGGTTTCGTCGCTTCAAAAGTGTTTTGCTGCGTCTCACGGTGACGCTGCTCGCTTATTTCAAGTACCGCCATCTCTTTTCGCACATGTGCAGACTGAGAAATCCGAAAGAAATCAGAGTAAGAGTTTACATGCACTGAGTAATCTGAGCTAAAATCCAGCTCTCTTTATCAGATTTCTTAATCGGATTTCTAGACCGGAGTGTGGTGTTTGTATGACAATTTGAATAATCTAATAACTGCAGAAATCCGTTTATGATCGGATTATTGAGTGCATGTAAACACACTCAATGTTTTATGATAGTTTTGTAATAAGGTTTTGGCGTAAAATGTATTTTAATCCATTTATACTACATTAATGGCGGAGGGATACATGCAAGGCATTGTGAGGAAACGTAGTCGCCAAGGAAAACTTAGTTTTTTAGATTTATGTGTATTTTACCATCATCAACATTCCATATTAAAACTCAGAAGACTCGTGTAGGTTCACTGCTGGTTTTGGATGGTAAATAAAATGGCTACATTTGCGTTGTAGACATGGCAACGTCTGGTTCCTGTCACCACCAGTGTAAAGAAATCAGAGTCTGTAAGTTTCTCTACAAAATTTTACATCAAATCACTGCGAATGACGCTGTTTACATGTTATGGGCTGAATTATTCAGAAATTTGGACAATTTGGTGGAATTTCCCTTAATTGTACTATATTTTTTGCAACCGTTTTTGAAGAGAAATGCTGCCCTCGTACTTTTGGCCTGTAGTGTATTTTTGCAGAGTCATCATCATGCTACCGTTTGAAAGTCGTGACCTATCAGCTAACCCAAGAACGGAGGGAGAAGGAGGTGGGGGAGAGGAGAGAGAGAGAGAGACAGAGAGACAGAGAGCAGAGCATTTTTCCATTCTAACACAGTGTAATGTAAGCGCAACTCCATCGCTATGCTATAATGGACGGATCAATATTGCTTCCTCTCTCTCACACTCTCTCTTTCCTTTCATTCAGACTCTTTCCCTCCCTCTCTCTCTCCTTCTGAGCGGTATCACTGTCCTACATTCACATCTGTTCTTTATACCTCTTCGCTTGTACCCCTCCCCATTTCCTCTCCCCCAATACGTCTCCCTGCTGCCCTCCGCTATGACTTGATGGGTCATTTTCATAAAGTATTTAACGCTGTTGTCATGTTGTTATGCTCTCTCTCTCTCTCTCTCTCTCTCAGTCCGTCTGGCTGAGTGGATGAATAATATATCGTGCCGTTGTGAGGTTGATGTAATGGCCCTGTGGGACGCTGAGCACTCACACGCTACTGCTAATGTGTGGAGAGGAAGAACTTTACTCCACAAACCTTCTAGAGCCTGAAACAATGATGGATTGATGGCTGGATGGAGGGACAGGCAGATGGATGGATGGAGGGAACAATGAATAGATGGACGGATGGATGAATTTGTGCGTGGATGGATAAATCGGTGGAAGGAGTTGACCTATTTGTTCTCCGCCCACAAATGCATTGTTTTGTAGCTGTTGTTTTGCGAAAGTTGGCTTTGCAGAAGCTGGCAAATCCCATTCAACCTAATTAGAAACTGTAGTTCTTTTGTTTCTCGTGTTGTCATGCTGGCAAATCCATTGTCTCTTCCAACTCGCCTAGTTTTGATTAGCCACACCAACAACCAGGATTGGGCAGAATACTTTGAAAAATACTGAATACTGCATACACTAAATGTATTCAATTATATATTCCATTATAACACATAAAAAGTATGTATTTAGAATACAGTTAGAATACATACCTTGATGAGGCACATTGACGGGGCAGTCGTAGGCTGGAGGTTAGGGAACCAGCCTTGTGACCTTGTTTGATCCCCTTGACCGACAGTACGTGACTGAAGTGCCCTTGAGCAAGGCACCTAACCCCAAACTACTCCCCGGGCGCCGTGGATAGGGCTGCCCACCACTCCGGGCAAGTGTGCTCACTGCCCCCTAGTGTGTGTGTTCACTTGTGTGCATGTATGTGGGCATTTCACTGCACGCATGGGTTAAATGCGGAGGTCTGATTCTGTGTATAAAAACACAGTTGGCTAATGGTTCTGGTTCTGTTCTGAACGTGGGGAAAACTGTGCTGTTATAGTTTTTATTTGATTCACTGTTTTCCTTGCTGTTACTGGTGGCAGTTTTCTTTATGTAAATATGTTTCATAACAAAATTCTCAACATTATTTTGGCTTGCAGTACCTACTTTGGTTCACTGCGGCTCATAATCCCACTGCCATCTCATAAACTAAGCAAACAGTTTGCCATTTCCCAATAACAAAATTTTACAAACTTTGACTATAAAGTGGGTTGGCATCTGATTTACAGTTAATAATGTGTATCTAACTTGCCACGAAACACATGCTAAGTCCAATGCTAAGTGCATCACTCATGAAGTTCTATCATCTATCAAAAACTGTAGTAATGGTAAGGTTAATGACCGATCATTACATTGGTTTATCAGTCTACTCAGGCTTTAGCAGAGCTCAGCAACACTGAGATTAATAACTGATCATCACATTGATTTATCAGTCTACTCAGGCTTTAGCAGAGCTCAGCAACACTGAGATTAATAACTGATCATCACATTGATTTATCAGTCTACTCAGGCTTTAGCAGAGCTCAGCAACACTGAGATTAATAACTGATCATCACATTGATTTATCAGTCTACTCAGGCTTTAGCAGAGCTCAGTAATACTGAGATTAATAACTGATCATCACATTGATTTATCAGTCTACTCAGGCTTTAGCAGAGCTCAGTAATACTGAGATTAATAACTGATCATCACATTGATTTATCAGTCTACTCAGTCTTCAGCCGGAACTTTACACGCTGTGCACTGATTTTAAAATAGTAATAAACAAGCATTAATGGTGTTTCTTGTAAAGATGGTATATTTATTACATTTAGTGAGTGAGTATTCTAAAAGTTAAAATTAAAAAAGCTAAAATTCTCCTAAGAAAAGAAAAAACTAAGTAACTAACTAACTGTATTCCAAATACTGCCTTTACAAAATGTAACTTGGACTGAGTACAGATGATTCAGTTCTGTATTCTGAATCTGTATTCTCAACACTTGTTACATCCCAACCCTGCCAACAACTCAGTAGCATTGCTGGAAACTCACGTACACTGTAAAAAGTGGAACGGTGTGATGAAGTGAAAGTGTTTTTGAGGTTGGATTTAATGTAAAATATTGCTTGTAATTGTCTAACTTATTTATTTTGTTTTGCATTGTTTCATTAAAACTATTGACGAGTTGAATAGTTCAGTTGCTTATCATGAAATATTTTTTTAGGTTGAACTGACAGATGAAATAGTAGATGGAAGTACAACTATTTTGGGATGATAGATGGAAGAATTTGTGTGTGAATTGATGAACTGGTGGGTGAATGGATCAATTGATGCATGGATGGTGGATGGATGAATTGGTTTGGGGATTGGTATGTGAATTGATAAATGGTGGATTAATGGATGGATGGGTGGATGATTGGATAAATGAATTTGTGAATAGATGGGTGAACTGCTGTGTGAACTGATGATCTGGTGGATGAATAGATATATTAGTAGATAGAGAGGTGGACGAATTAGTTGATTGATGAACAGATGAAAGGATGATGGATGGTGTATTGAAGAATTGGTGGATGGATAGATAAATTAGTAGATGAATAGGTGGATGCATTGTTGCGTGGTTGGATGAATTGATCGATGGATTGGTGAATGAATGAAATGTCTGTGAACTGATGAACTAATGAATAAATTGGAAGATTTGTGGATTCATTAATTAATTGATGAATGGATGAGAAGGATGGGTGGATGGATGGATGGATTGTGAACTGATAGATGGATGGAAAAATTAGCATATGGATAAATGAATGAATTGGGGGATGGATGGATACACTGGTAAATGGATAGATGGATAAATCGGTAGCTGGATGGATGGATTAGTGTATGAATAAATGGAAAAGTGAATAAATCTGATAAATGATAAATGAACTGGTGGTTTGATAAATTAATTGGTGTTTGATTGTACTGATGGACTGGTGGGCGCATGAATCAATCGATTAAAATTGATTAATTGATCAAAATGTTTCTTGCCAAATTATGACACTGACACATTTATGTCATTTGGCAGACGCTCTTATCCAGACCAACTTACATTTTGATCATTTTATACAGGTAGGCGAAGGTAGTGTTGGGAGTCTTGCCCAAGGACTCTTATTGGTATAGTGCAGGGTGCTTACCTAGGTGGGGGATTAAACCCTGGTCTGCAGCAGAGAAGGCAGAGGTGTCTACACTACACTATACCAATCACACGGTAGTCAAATGTATAAGCATCAAAATGCGCTAGCATTTAGCTAGCATGTAGCAAGCTAACTTTGATAGCCTTCTAGGTAGTTGGCCAAGCTGGGGCTTGAACTGCACTCAGATCGTCTGACAAAAATGAAATATTTTTGCCAACTTGTCTCATTTCTTGTTACTTTGCTTAAGGATGGCTAACTCTTTGTTAATAGCAGCAAAAGACCTATAGCTGTCAGGTATGTTAGCATTAATAATGTGCTTATTTCAAGGTCAATTTGTCTAAAAATAATGAGTCTTATGTATAATTTGTAGCACTTTGTTGGGATGTGGCTCTGTTTGGGGCTAATGTAGCTAACAGTACTGGAAGCTAATAGCCACCAGATTAGCATCATGCAAACTGCAGTACGTATATGGCAATTTCATATTTGCACGCTGCCCAGATGTACGAAGAGCGTATTTTCCCAAAGCCTCACTGTTTGGTTTCACACCACAGAGAACAATCAGGGCGAGAGTGAGCTTTAAACCTCTTCAGTCATCCGAGGAGCCACTTATCGTTTGACTAGCGTGAGGCACAGTTTGTAACTTAAGCCACGATACAGTATTTATGAGGCCTTCATAAGCTGCTGCGTTTAAAGAGCTCTAAGTACAGCGTTGCTACTGTAGTGTGATCTGACTAACAAGCCTTCCATTGTCCTGGTGTGTGCAGGCCCAGAACGTTCATGTTGTCTACAGGATGCCTGATGTCCAGCTGACCAGGCCACACTGCCCAGGTAAAACACACACAGCACTTGGTGTTTTCAAATCTAAGATATATTAATAATGATAGTTTGGCCAAAAATCTACAGAGCCCTGCTGGTGGCATCCTGTATAAATAAAAATAATGCGTGGCCACGGCTTCTTAACGCGTGGGAACAAGATCCTAATGTGTGGCCACAACTTAGTAAGGCGTGGGAATGACATAATTAAGTCATGGCCACGACTTAGTAAGCCGTGGAAATGAAATCATGCCTTACTAAGTCGTGGCCACGCATTAGAGTTTCGTTCCCACGCCTTACTAACTTGTGCCCATGACTTAATTATCTTGTTCCCATGCCTTACTAAGTTGGGGGAAGGCAAACCCCTCCAGGGTAAGATCCCCCCCACCCCATCCATACTTTTTCTTTCCTGATGAAATGATTGGGCGAGATCCAATCTTGACACATCTAGTGAATGGCTATGGTCTGATTAATTTTGAACTCTTGTCTGGTTCACTGCATTATTGAGCTTTATTCCACTGTAAACGTCTTGGAATCTCAGACACAGCAGTGCTGCTGGAGTTTTTAAACACTCTGTCCACTCACTGTCCACTCTATTAGACACTCCTACCTTGTTAGTCCACAGCTGCACAGTTTGTGTTGGTCATCCTCTAGTCCTTCATCAGTGGTCACAGGACACTGTTGGCTGGATATTTTTGGTTGGACTATTCTCAGTCCAGCAGTGACACTGAGGTGTTTAAAAACCCCAGCAGCACTGCTGTGTCTGATCCAGAGGGCAAGATGTCCCTTTTAAGGAAAACAAAAATGTCTACCGTTCCAGTTTATTTCCTCTAACTGTGAGTAGGCTAAACTCTTGTACAAATATGCTTTACCTTTACAGTAAATTAATATTGTTCATAAAGGGGAAATCCACCAAATTTTCAAAATGTCTGCACAATTAAAGCGTTAAGAAGTGAACAAAGTAATTCGGAGTGGTTTGGTGTGAAATGCTCTGTTCAGAAGAAGCTTAGAGTCAGAATGGTTGCAGTGGTGGTGATAGGAACCAGACGTCCAGCTCTAATAGCTCCCTCACGGAAAGTTATTACATGAAATGTTTATGAATACAGAGCCTTATTTTACAGTAGTTTTGAGAAGGTTTTGGCCGTTTATGGACAGTTCCTGCTGTCGTGAGGCAAAGAAGTCCCTCCAAAAGAGAATTTTTTTGGATTTACTGCTATATTACCATCATCAGCATTACATATAAAAACACAGGAGACATGTGTAGGTTCACTGCTGGTTTTGGATAGTAAATACAATGGCTATATTTGTGTTGTAGTCATGGTGACCCCGGTTCCTATCAGCACCACTGTAAAGAAATGTGAGTCTGTAAGTTTCTCTACAATGAACCGTTACACATCAGACTGCTCTCAATCACTTTGTTTATATTTCAACAGCTGAATTATTCAGAAATTTTGAATAATCGTTGGAGTTCCCCTTTAAGGGGGGCATTTTCCCCCAGTTCCCCCTCCCATGAAAGCCATCATATGTATTCTCAATGTATTAAAAGCAGATTTTGCTCCTAGAAATGTTGAAGAGGTCGAGCTGTAATCTAACACACCTGGTCCAGCTAATCAGGCAGTGCGGTAGCGTGGGAAAATTACAGCCAGGTGTGTTAGATTAGGACTGTAAGTAGGGCAGTGCGTCTCAGCACACCTGCTCCTCCGTGGACAAGATTGAAGACGCTGCTCGGCTTTACTCGCTGTGTTTTTACTCAAAGGAAATATTTCCCTCCCCTTCATGCAGAAATACACCAAACCCATTGAGCAAAACAGTATAGTTCACTTCAACTACCGAACGCACCACTGAGGAATTAAAATTGTCGTGAAATATTAAACAAGAATAGCCTCTGTACTGTAATCTGAGTATTTGAAATGGTGGGCTGCACTTACCATGCAGTTTTGGGCTACACTGTACTGACCAACCACTTACCTGTTTCTTTAGGAGCTGTGTTTGTCAGTCACATCTCAAGTTCAGTGATTTTCATGCAGTAATCTTTTAAACCACATTAACATAATAATGATATAATAAAATGATTATTCCATTTTTAATAATGCAGTGACCATAAAATGAATATCCAGAAAAATAATATTAATAATTAGAAAAAGGAAATAAATAGAATTAATATCCAGAAGGCAACACATTTTAAAAATTCAGGTTCTAAGACGGAGAACTTGACAAGAAATTACTACAAATAGATTTGAGTGTTTTAGAAATCTGAGTGTAAATCTTAATTATTGTAAACAGCTTAACTTCTTATTGTTTACAAAAAAGTTCTGTATTTAATTCACACAGTAATGGTTTCTATTAAATATATAGTATAGTGTAGTAGTCTCTCTCTCTCTCTCTCTCTCTCTCTCTCTCTCTCTCTCTCTCTCTCTCTCTCTTTCTATGTCTCTTCCTCAAGTTTGTTTGCCTTATTGATGTTACACTTGTTCTCTCTTTCTCTGTCTCTTTCTGTCTCTTCTATCTTTCTATAACAAGAGAAAAACAAAAAAAAATCGCTTTGCCTCTTCCTTTCTTCCACTCTCTCTCTTCTCTCTCTTTTTCTCTGTCTCTCTCTGCTGCTTCCTTTCTTCCTCTCTGTCTTCCTCTCTCTCTTCTCTCTCTTTTTCTTTCTTTGTCTCTCTCTTTCTTTCTCTGTCTCTCTCTTTCTGTCTTTCTGTCTCTTTCTTCCTCTCTCTCTTCCTCTCTCTCTCTGCCTCTTCCTTTCTTCCTCTCTCTCTTCCTCTCTCTCTCTTCTCCCTCCTTTTTTCTGTCTCTTTCTCTCTGCCTCTTCCTTTCTTCCTCTCTCTTCCTCTCTCTCCTCTCTCTCTTCCTCTCTCTCTCTCTTCTCTCTCTTTCTGTCTCTTTCTTCATCTTTCTCTCTGCCTCTTCCTTTCTTCCTCTCTCTCTTTCTCTCCCTCTCTTCTCTCTCTTTTTCTGTCTCTCTCTCTCTGCCTCTTCCTTTCTTTTTCTCTCTTTGTCTCTCTCTTTCTTTCTCTGTCTCTCTCTTTCTGTCTTTCTGTCTCTTTCTTCCTCTCTCTCTTCCTCTCTCTCTCTGTCTCTTCCTTTCTTCCTCTCTCTCTTCCTCTCTCTCTCTTCTCTCTCCTTTTTTCTGTCTCTTTCTCTCTGCCTCTTCCTTTCTTCCTCTCTCTTCCTCTCTCTCTTCTCTCTCATCCTCTCTCTCTCTGCCTCTTCTTTTCTTCCTCTGTCTCTTCCTCTCTCTTTCTTCTCTTTTTTTCCCTCTTTCTCTGTCTCTTTATTTCTCTATCTTTCTTTCTGTCTTTCTGTCTCTTTCTTCCTTTCTCTCTTCCTCTCTCTCTCTGCCTCTTCCTTTCTTCCTCTCTCTTCCTCTCTCTCCTCCCTCTCTGTCTGTCTCTTTCCTGCTCTGTTTCTTTCTGTCTCTCTGTCTCTTTCTTCCTCTCTCTCTCTTTTTTCTCTTTCTCACCTTTTCTCTCTCTTTCTCCCTGTCTCTCTTTCTCTGTCTCTATCTCTCTCTCACTCTCTCTCTCATTCTCTCTGTCTCTCTCTCTCTCCTTTTTTTCCTCTCCCTGTCTGCAGTTTATTGATCGTTCATGGATCATAGTGCAATAATACATTCCTCTCTTGATCGGCTGAAAACTGATGACGAGATGCTTTTTGTTTGGGACAGTATACACCCTCTAACAGCTCCCCCCCCCCTCTGTCCCAGAATGCACTGTGTCCCATGACTCTGAAAGTGACTCTGCCGTTGAAGATGACACACTCGTTTCCATGGAGACAGACAAGCCCACTTTCACCTACGGGCTGAGACGGGCCAAAAGGCAGGTGAGCGTTTCTCACAGACTCTAAATAAAATAACTATTTAAATTAGCAGCTGGAAAATCAACGACTTAAAACAAATCATTTAATATATAAATCCACTGACACACAAGAATGACATGGAAATCTTATGCCTGCTTAGTTAAAAGAAGAGTTTAAACCTGTTAAACTAAAAATGTTTCACTCCGCAGTGTGTACAGTCCAGATACATACGAGAACTCAGCTGCCCATTTTAAATTCAGTTTTGCAAAAAAAAATAAATAAATAAAAAAGAAGCAGTACATTTACATATATACACCTGTTCAGCCTACAGCAGTTTAACTCCGCCCATTCACACTGAATTTATAAGGAGTGTTTCAGCTGGACTGCTCTTTGATTGAGCCTTAATACTGGCCAGCCAGTCAGAACAGAGATTATTTATATAGATCAGTCTAAAAGGCACAGTAAAGTGGTCATAAAAATGAATTAAGACTGTTTTTAAATATAAACAGAAGCAGATGTCATAACAAACATAGGATATGGGCCCCTTAACCGGTCAGCAGTAATAGCCATGTTAGTAGAGTTAGATAGATGAGAGTGCTGTCAAGTTCAGACTGACACTTATTTATAATGAAATAAAATGTAGTGTTCACATCTTGGTACCTAAATGTGGTCAGTCAGCCAAAACAGGTTTGTTTCTTTGGTTTTGCCCTGAAGTTTCATGGCTAATACAGCTAACAAGTAGTGGAAGATAACAGCCACCAATTTGCCACAAACTGTTCATTGTTTAGTTGTTCTGGGCTGTTTTCACGCAGAGTCGACCTGTATGAACAGAGAAAGGAGATGCTGTGTTTAATGCACTGAAACCTTCACTGAGTCCTTTTTTGTTAAACACTTGTGAGAAAAAGACAAAGAAGGTCAAAATAGATCAATCGAGCAGTTAAGCAAAGCAAAGCTGCCATTTTTTAAAGACTCAGACAGACATTGCTGCTACTGGTGTACATTTTCAAAATGAGCCTTTTGTTTTGGAAATAAAAATCTTTTTGGTCTGTTAAACTCAGAGGCTTTGGGTTATTCTTAAAGCTGTAAAATTCCTGTTGTTTTATTTAACAAAAACAAAGCGTTTACATGCACTCAATAATCTGATAACTGCAGAAAATCAGATTCACGTTTACATGCGCTTGAGTAATCAGATAGTGGAGAAACTCCAGGTCTACATGAGTCAGGCAGTAATCGGATTTCTGCTTTGTAACCAGCCAATAGACTCACAGAAAAAGACGTGACGTAAACGTAACGTAAAACTCGAGCTTCATTTTTTTTAAACATTTACCTGAAAATATGAACATGCATCATTTAGAAGATGAAGAATATTTGAATCTCTCATTTCGTGTTTGGCTTCAGCGCCGTTCCAAAAATGTTTTGCTGCGTCTCGCGACATCCACCGTCTGTTCTCGCGCAAACGCAGACTGAGAAATCCGAAAGAAATCAGAGTAAGAGTTTACGTGCATGATCAGATTATTGTGTTCTCGTAAACGCACTCATTGATATAAATGAATAATTTGTTCCCTTTTTTTTTCAAATTGCTTATCATGCATCCCTATAAATCATCATGCTTGTGCCTCAAACTGTGTTGATTGTTCAGTGATCTGTATTAGACTTGTTTGTAGTTTCTGACACTGTGCTGACACTGTTATAACACTATACAATGAACAAACGTACGGACAGAATTCAGGCTCTACTCGTGTGTCATTCCTCCTGTTTTTAGCTGTGTGATGTATTTTTATCCATTTTTTTGCTGGGCAGATCCGGAGGCCTCAGCGCACTGTCCAGACTGAGACCAAATACGTGGAGCTGCTGGTGGTGAACGACTACGACCTGGTAACAGAGCTGACTGTGTCTTGTGTCTGTGTGTGCATGTGTGCGTGTTTGTGTGTGTGCGCGTGTATTTTGTTTGTGTGTGTGTGCATGTTTGTGTGTGTGTATATGTGTATTAGAATGTGTGTGTGTGTGTGTGTGTGTGTTTTAGTATATATGTGTGTCTGTGTGCGTGGATGTGAATTAATATATGTGTGTGTGAATGTGTATTAGTGTGTGTGTCTGTGTGTGTGTGTGTGTATTAGTGTGTGTGTGTATCGATATGTGTGTGTGTGTGTCTCTGTGTGTGTATGTGTTTTAGTAAATGTGTGCGTGTGTTTTGTGTGTATGTGTATTAGTATGTGTGTGTGTGTGTGTATCGATATGTATGTGTGTGAATGTGTATTAGTGTATGTTTGTGTGTGTGTGTTGTGTGTGTGTGTCTGTGTGTGTGTGTATATGTGTATTAGTATATGTGTGTTTTGTGTGTGTGTGTGTGTCTGTGTGTGTATGTGTATATGTGTATTAGTATATGTGTGTTTTGTGTGTGTGTGTGTGTCTGTGTGTGTATGTGTATATGTGTATTAGTATATGTGTGTGTGTGTGTGTGTGTGTGTGTGTGTGTGTTGCAGTAACTGATACTCTCCGTCTCTTGTTTACAGTTTGTTCAGATGCGCAGATCCACCGCTCAGACACGCAACTTTGCTAAAGCTGTCGTCAACATGGCTGATGCAGTGCGTATGAACTTATATTACTAATATTTTTGCATTATTATGAAGATATTTAGATGTAAAGGCTTTTGCTGAAATGCTTGCAAGTTGGTTGCTGATGTATAAATGTAAATGTGATGTACAGCTACACTGGTTTCAGATGATTAGCAGGACCAGCCCTCTGCAAATGAAAATATAAAAATATTAAATGTGTCTAAAATGAACAGAGCTGTAGAATATCCTACAATGATTTAGAAATTTGTGTAACATTGAGAATAAAGTTATAACAAAGTTAATGTCCAGAATTTGTCACACTACAGAAGCTGAGGTCTGATCTCAAACTGCAGATAATGTGGAAAAAATGTTAGTAATAATTACAATATATTATTTATCATTTCATTCATCTCTCATTCACAGAATTCCTACAAATACTAACACTAATACAAAAACATCTACAAATACTTTTTGGTAATAATTTTTGTATAATATTAATATGGCAAGCGATTGTAAAATTTTGAAATTAAGTATGAATTTATTTCCAAAATTACAATTTTAAAAAAGATTTTTTAGAATGTTTCCCCAAATTTAGTGGAATTCAGCATGTGAAAATGTTAAAGCCCAGTCTTTATATCATCCCTATTACTATACGTGGCTCGGTAAAAGTTCTTTAGTGGAATGTATGTCCTCTTTAATGCGTTTGAGTCAAACACGTGTGTTGGTGGGTCTGAATAGGCAATATTTCTGGCTGGAGGAATTCTGTTTGTGTTATTTCATTTCGTTCTGATGTGTTTAATATTATTCTGAAATTAGGAAAATAGTAAAAATATATCTTTTAAATAGCCGACGACATGCCCAAATAAGGCAGCTGGTTTTCTCCATGACATTTTTGAATGTCACTTCTATTGCATTCTGGGCACTGAAATGCCACCATAAGACTGAAAACCTTACCAAAATCCCCCAGCAAGCTTTGTCAAATGAGGTAGTTTAGTTGTGTTGGCAGTTTTAGGCTCCAGCTTGAGGAGCTGGTGTTGTTATAGAGTAGTACACGATTAGATTACACTCATTTGATGAGCAGAAGTGTTGGCTTGTAGCGTGGATGGAGCAATATTAACAGCTCCTTAATGACATCATCATTCAGAGGACCCGGTAACATTAAAGGGAAAGGATATGTAAGACAAAACCTATCGAGTTCAGAGCGTTTTAGTTTACTACTATTCAAAAACACCACTCATTTTCCTATTAGAGGGAAAACACTTTGACTTAGAGTCCCTAGAGTTCCACTTAGAACGGAGTTAGAGTTATTAGAGTTCCTAATATGGGCATGACGCCAACTCCAGTGATACAAAACCTAGAAGAAAACCTCTTCTACTTGTAGGTGTGTCCAGTCGTTGGACAGCTGCTGTGTGAAATTTAGAGAAACATAGGAAACAATTCAGATTCTAAACCACGATTTTGATTCACCTTGACTTTGTACATTTTAGATTTACAAAGAACAACTCAACACTCGGATTGTGCTCATCGCCATGGAAACGTGGTCATCCCAGAACATGGTGTCAGTTGGAGATGACCCTCTGATGACCTTGCGTGACTTCATGAAGTACAGGAGAGAGAACATCAAGGAGAAGAGTGACGCCGCACACCTCTTATCGTGAGTCTGCACTCAAACACCACCTACACAAAGAACAGAGAACAACCTGGTACTGTTTTGTCTTTTAAGTTTACTGCACTGCTTAGATCTATCAGAGTCATCTGCACTGTATTCTGTTTATTACTGGTTTATTACTATATTGTTACATATCATTACTGTTATTATCTCTATAAGACCAGGAGTGTTAACGCCTGTACCAGTACCAGTGGATAAATTGAAATTTCGAAGTTGGTGGAGCTCTTCCTAAGTTTCCTTAAGTAAGCTTACATACCAGCTGTAGATAATTATGCTACAGAAAATGTGTTGGATTGTTCCAGCTCAGTTTAACCCCTGTTTAGGTTTTGAATCAATGTTTTCACATTTCTGCCCAAAGCAATATTCACAATGAAATAATAATAAACTGAATTGACCAGTATCTAAATACTTATTATATATCATATCGGACTGTAGTGATTTTATATTTTTGTTCATTTAACCTTTTTCAAACAGCCCAGTATATGATCCAGCACCTGGTTTGTCTAGTCAGTGCTCCATTAAAAGGAATTTAACATATCAGTGGAGTGGCTGGGGCTTCAAACAAAAAATCATTAACATACGTATCTTCCTGTAGGGGGCGTACGTTCCACAGTGCCCGTAGTGGCACAGCCTACATTGAGGGCATTTGCTCTCCAACACGAGGAGGCGGAGTCAATGAGGTAGGACCCCTTCCATACTGCTAACTCACTGCCCCGTCCCAAAAAAGCTAGTTCACCAAACTGCCAATTCACTACTTTGTTCTTAGCTAATTCATAAAATCGCTAATACACTGACTAATCACAAGCTAACACACCAACTCACTGCCTCGTCCCTATACAGCTAAAGCCTCAACCTGCTAACTCACTGCCTCGTCCCTATACAGCTAAAGCCTCAACCTGCTAACTCACTGCCTCGTCCCTCTGAATGCAGTAGTAGTTTATGTGTGAATGTTCTGTGTTTTTGTGCTGTGTGTTTAGTATGGAAACGTTGGACCCATGGCCATCACTCTTTGCCAGAGTTTAGGGCAGAATCTGGGCATGATGTGGAATAAAGAACGCGCCACTGCAGGTAAAACAGCAGCACAACACAACCAGCTAACACCTCTGTGTAGAGGAAATATTAGAGGAGGAGGACAGGTTCTTGTTTTGAGTCTTGGTTCTTTTCGGTGGTTCTTCTTCACGCTTATAGGGAGTCTCTGTCTGTCTCACTCGTTTAACTAGCTTATGTCTGAAAAGGTTTTAGGAGACTGTAAGGTTTGTCACGTGAGGTGACATCAGCATAAACCAGGAGTGGCTTGAAACCAATATTTTCATTATGTATTACCTAATTTTAATACTGATTATGTGCTAGTTATTCTTCTGGCAAATGATTATAGCTGGTTAGTTTAGCTGTTATTACCACACTATTTGTAACTCAGCTAATAATAGTGCTAGCTAATTAGTTGCTATTTCCACCGAGACGTGTAGGTACACTGGTGGATTTGGATAGAGTCACGACCCCACAGGAAAGTCTAGGGGATAATGGGGTCAATAAGATATGGTTTAAAATGTGACATTTGGAGCATGAACCAGGAAGGTAGGGGTGAAGTACAATCACGCTAGGATCACAGTGAGACCTCCAAAAACATGACTATTTACACTGTTAGCAATATTTGCAAAACAGCAAATATGCTTGTTGCTAAACAGGACGAGATTCCGGACCTGGATGGCGCTGAAGGACAGAAATAATCAAAATAAACAGAGAAAAACACTACCCTAGCTCTTTAATTTAAGTTCTCACTTACCAGCAAAACAAAATAACTAGCTACACTGATCTTGCCAGACACCCCTTATACAGCCCAGACACGTAACAGATATTAAATTAAATGCCTAGATTTGTATTATAGACATGGCGACCCCTGGTTCCTATCACCACCACTGTAAAGAAATCTGAGTCAAAAACAAATCTCAGAGTTCTCGTCTCAATGATTTAATAATGCACACATTTTGAAAACACCCAGTGAAATTCATCTTTAACAGCTGGTTTTCTTCCGAGTTTGTGCCCACTGGCTCTGAAACTTCCCACAAATTGTGTCCAAGGACTAAAGGACTATTGATGTGTCCAGGAATAAGTAATGACACAAATGCAAGGTGACTTTCTGTAGACTCTCTGTGTAAAGAAATGAAGGGATGGAATCAGAAGCAGGACGTTTACTCATGTTTCCCTCCCCCTGTGTGTAACAGGAGATTGTAGATGTCCAGACCCATGGCTTGGCTGTATTATGGAGGACACTGGGTAAGTCAGGCACAAGCTTATAGACCCAAGGCATGTTTATGAGTCATTTCCATCCATTATTTTTTTCTTTTTCTTTCTCTCTCACACACAAATCTTCACACACACTGTTCTAGCACATACACCTATCAGCCATAACATTACAACCACCTCCTTGTTTCTGCACTCATTGTCTGTTTTATCAGCTCCACTGACCGTATAGGTGGACTTTGTAGTTTTACAATTACAGACTGTAGTCCATCTGTTTCTCTGCATACTTTGTTAGCCCCCTACTAGAACTCGAGGATGACCAACACAAACTGTGCAGCAGCAGATGAGCTATCGTCTCTGACTTTACATCTACAAGGTGGACTGACAAGGTAGGAGTGTCTAATAGAGTGGACATTGAGTGGACACAGTGTTTAAAAACTCCAGCAGCACTGCTGTGTCTGATCCACTCAAATACCTTGTAGAGCCAAGGCATCTCTGTGCCCATAGTGCGCCCCTGTATGGTCAGTGGAGCTGATAAAATGGACAGCGAGCATAGAAACGAGGAGGTGTGCTTAATGTTTGGCTGGTCAGTGTAAATTACATTGAGAAACTGTGTATGTCTTACAGATACTACCTACCAAGGAAGTTCTCCCGTTGCAGTGTAGAGGAATACGTCCGCTTCCTCCAGGAGGGAGGGGGCAGCTGCCTCTTCAACAAACCAACCAAGGTGAGTCTGATCTGGGTTTAGCAGAAAAAACAAGTCTACACAGTTTTCCTTCTTAGCCAAATGTGGTCAATCAGCCAGGACATGTCTGGTGTCTGAAGTTTTGCACTGGAGGTTGATGTAGATAACAAGTAATGGAAGCTCATGTATAGCATTTAGCATTGAAATTCTCCATTCTAGAGAAGCTTACTGGGTTCATAGTGGTGGTGACAGGGAACCAGATGTTCAAAATGGCAATGAAGACACTGTTTTGTGACAGGGTTGAGATACACTTTTGGCCTAAAACGTATTTTTAAATCCGTTCATGGTGCATGCAGGGCAGAATAGCTCCCAGAGAAAACGTATTTTTCTTGTTAACCACTGTTTGACCATCATCAGCATTACACACATAACTCAGAAGCCACGTGTAGCTTCACTGGTTGTTTTGGATAGTAAATAAAATGGCACTGTTTGTGTTTTCAGTCATCACAGCCCACTGGTTCCTATCACCATCACTGAAATCAGAGTCAGTAAGTTTCACATCAGACCATTCTGAATGACTTTGTTTACTCAATGATTGAAATATGCAGAATTTTTAGGATTTCTAGACAAAAAACATCCTCAGGACTCTCCATGTAGTCTATTTAGGCTGTATTAGGAGTTGGGATCAAGCCAAAATGTGAGTCACAACCTGGGGTATAAGCTTCCATGACTTGTTAGCTACATTAGCCTCGTAGCATAAAACTAAAGACTATTCCTTTAAAACTGCCCAGCCACAAAAAAGTATCAGCTTTTCAGTTTTAAAGTGTATTAGATATTTGCCATGTCTTTTTATCCATGCAGTTACTGGATCCTCCAGAATGTGGGAACGGATTTGTAGAGCAGGGAGAAGAGTGTGACTGCGGTTCCCAAGTGGTGAGTTCACCAAAAACAAGCGACTATTTGGCGCTGTCTCTGGCCGAGGCTTTTTCAAACTAGCACAGCACTTGGTTGATACTGCTGCTGATGTTGGTGATCGATATCAAAGAGATGTTGCCTCATCCCACAACTGTTTCACAGCACATTGACAAAGAAGCAATAAAACTGAAAAGATCTCTTGTAGACAGCAGACCGAGACCATCAGCAAATATGGGTGCGCTGTCATAACAGATATTTGCACAGAAAACAACAGGGAGACGTCTTTCCTTTCAGCCACTATCCATTACATAGACGAAAGCTACCATCTTGTATCAAAGGTGCTTTTTTAAGTGCATTTGAGCCAGGAACCAGCAAGACGGGTGACAGCAGCTCCATGTTTTTGGAATTGACTGCACCTGCATAAGCATGGCGCATACAATCGTGTTAGTAACTGATAGAGGGGCAGATATGGTTGTTAACCTGTGTGGCTTCACCTGAATCAACTGCAGTGCCCACTTACTCAGCATAGTGCTTTTGCAACTGCAGTGGTGGAAAATGTGTGTGAAACAGGCGGCGGAGGCCTGGTGGAATTCAGATTTCGATGTGCTAGACCAGGGGTCGACAACAAGTAGCTCAGGAGACTCATGTGGCTCTTTTACTGCCCTGTTGTGGCTCCACAGTAGAATTAGATTTTTAGGTAAACATAAAATAATCCTCCTTTGCAGTAAAATAAAGCTCTGCTGATCGTTCAACACAGTTTTAACAATAAATGGTCTAAAACGCTGGAGTTGTATGTAACCTACAACTGCTAATTCACCAACCTTTAATCCTGAAGATCAGCACACAGAAAGCTGGTCACACAGCAACGCAAACAACAATCTCGCATAGCTAGTAGCTGACAAAAAGGCAAAGAGAGAGATTTAAGACGAACATCGATCATTTGGAGACCAGTGGACTTATTTGCCTTATTAATCACTCCAGCTGGTTTACTGATCCGTTTAATCTGCAGCGAAAAACTGTCAAACACTAAAAAGTTCCACCTTAAATGGTGCAGCAGTTAAATTTTGGTGCTTCAATTGCCATTTAAGGTGGAATGGGAAAATTCAAGCAAGAAGCTGGCCAATGAGAAGCGACTTCAGCCTCGTAAAAAATCTAACATTGAGAGACATTTTACAAGAAACTATTCCACTTTTGAGGAAAAGTTTCCTGCCGGAGATGCGAGAAAAGCAGCTGTAGCTGAGCTAAAGCTTAAAGATCAAAGTAAGTCTGTGTTGTCAATTGTATTATATTTTTTTGGCTATACTAGCACATTAGCACGTACTGAGACATATTAACAGCCAGGATGGTAAAATGGACATAGAATGTGGCTCCCAAGGTGGTTTGATTTTTGTTGAAAGGACAAAATGGCTGTTTTGGGTTGCTGCCCCCTGTGCTAGACTCTGTCTTGCAACAATATGAAAAAAATTTCAGCAGTACTGCTGGAGAATAATCAGTATGGCAAGATCAAGCGCATCAACAAAAGCATGCTGACAACTGCTGTGTCCTTTCTGAAGCTTTTCAAAGATGCAACAAATGATTTAGAGTCAGAGAGCTCAAAACAAAGTGGATCCGTAGTGCTAACAAGGTCTGTCAGACTAATGACGCACTGCACCGAAGCGGCGGCTGTACCTGCGCTCACTGAAGTTGTTCTTGCACGTATGCGACGTCTGAAAGAACTGATGTGGGAACACTTCTCACTCCATCCGCGATACCTAAAGATGCTAACTGAAGAAAGTGCAGTTTAAAGAATGGAAGGACACGGGTTCCATGGCAAGAGACAGAACAATGTTGGGTTCAGAGATAAAGGACTGTTAAAGAGTCAAACTGGGCACATCTGAAACATCAGGATCACACCACGTTCTTCAGTGGTGGAAAAGCCACAAGCTTCAGTTTCCATCACTTAAACCTGCATCTAGCGCACCATCAGAACAAGCCGTCAGTGTTTTGGGGCATATCCCTGGAGGAGAGATGCAGCGTGCTAAAGCCCTCTTCAGTGAGCAGCAACCTTTTCCTTTGTGGAAATTCATCCAGGAATGTTCATTCTAGTTTAATTATTAAGCCATTGTAGTTTCAGTTTTGGCATCCGTTTTTCCTTCATGGAAAAAATCTCATACAGCTTTCAGGATTCATTTGGTGAGCTTTTATTCATAGGCTACGTATTTGTTAAATATACTGTTTATTGATAATTATTTGTTAAATATGCTGCATTTTTATGTATAATATTTTAGTAAATAGAGCAAGCCTTTGGCTACATCTTTATTTGTAATTATTAATGTAATATATTATTTATTTATAATAGTTAATGTAACCTACCTCTTTTAATGTTTAGCTGTATGTTTATAGAGGCCATTAATAGTGCAAGGGGTAACCATAGGGGTCCAAGCATTTATAGAGCTAGTAGAACACAAATGATGGGTGAAATGTTTTTAGAACAGTCTCTGTTTTTAAGTGGGGTCTTGAAAGAGGATATCTGCCAAATTTCATACACATTGACCTTTTGACCTTGGTATGGTTAACAACAGCTTTCAAGCAAATAAGTCCAAATACCTAAAAACAGTACATTTTTTTGCAATTGTACTTGCATAGTTATTGAACTAAATAATTCCCCAGTATTTTCCCCAGCATTTTATTCTCAGAGTGCACCAGAATATTATAATAAAATCGATTTCTGCTGAAAAGGTTGCTGTGGGACCCCATTACAGGGATTGGTTTCTGCACTTGTCACCTTTTCCACTGTTCATGATTTTCCTTGTCTGTAATAACTACCTACATCTGACAGTGATGTCAACATAAGTGCTGTGTTTGTGTTGCAGGAGTGCTCCCGAGCCGGGGGAGCGTGCTGCAAGAAGTGTACCCTTACCCATGATGCAATGTGCAGTAATGGACTCTGCTGCAACAGGTGTAGGGTGAGCACAATTGACTATCTACTGTATGTATGAAGATCAGCCTACATCAGTGCAATTCCTGCAAAGCTTTGTGGTGAGAGATGTTGTGATGAAAAGACACACATACCACTTGTTTGTGCCCTTTCAACACACAAACTTGAACAGAAAGTTTCCACATGAACAAAATATCAATACAGTGAAGAATTATAATGTAATATAATATAATATAATATAAACTTAATAAACTTATAATATAAACTTAATAAACTTATAAACTTAATGTTCCACTCTTGTAGCTCTACTTTGATGGGGAACAGTTAGTGACTGTAGTTCATCTGTTGATGCACAGTTTGTGTTAGCCATCCTGTAGTCCCTCATCAATGGTCAGTTTCTGACCACAGAGACACTCTTGACTGAATATTTTTGGATGGTGGACCACTCCAAACTAATCTAGCAGGCTAGGTGAATGTAATAAATGGTGATGGTGAATGTAATAAATATAGACTTAAAGGAAATGGTCTGGAAAAAATCTAATCTAGATAATGTTGACAAACACTAGATGTCAATAGTCACCCAAATGTTTCTGCAAATACGTCTCCAAACCTGTGCGAACTGCATCCATGTCTTCATTCAGGTGGCACAGACTTGCTGTGGTTTAATTGAACAAAACTGCACCTTGTAGCTGAACACTGTGGACAGCCATTTTAGACAACAGGTGTGCCGAATTTCGACTCCCAGTTGTGTGCATGCACGTCGTGCTGGGCTGTGGTTGCGAGATTATGCCTGTGATTTCTGTCGTTTTTTATATAAATAGCTGTAAATCTTGAATTTTCAAACTGAAGATTGTTTATAAATGGAAACAACAGAAATCTCAAACATAATCCAGCACCTGTTTGCCATGTGTGCTCATAAAGGGAGTCAGAATTCAGCACAACACCTGTTGTCTAAAATGGCTCCTGCCAGTGTTCAGCTACATAGTGATGTTTTGTTAATTTTTATAGCCACAGCAGTGACTTTATCGCGGTTATCTAATCTCATTCCAGTTTTTTCCTGTTTTTTTCTGTTTGAATACATTGTTGATATTAGGGACTGTATTTTCTCCACAGCAATATGCAGCATGTAGCATTGTAACGTGTAACATTGAACATAAAATATCATGCAACACACTTGTGGTCCATAGACCAGTGGTTTGAGAAATGATACCCTAATGATTCCCTAAACCACCTCCGTATTGTGCACCTTAATGAAGACTTTGGGTGACTGTTGACTTGTAGTGATTGTTAGCAACATAAGCCTCACAGCTCCAGTGCTGAACTAAAACTCTCAGCTGGACTACATCTGGATTAAATGGAAAATTGTGTACATTTTTTTTTTTCGCCAAACCATTCATTTAAAGTAATTCCAGGTTTATATGGATCTGCATAACTTGCTCTGTATGTCCGTGTTTCAGTACGAGCAGAGAGGAGTAGTGTGTCGAGATCCGGTCAATGACTGTGACGTCCCAGAAATGTGTACTGGTGATTCCAGCCAGGTAACTCACCTTATTCCTATTTTTTATTTTATTTTATTTTTCTTAGTATAGAGGGTGTAGAAAATAATGGAAACACCACAGAAGGTACTCAGACTCATTGGCCATTTTATCAGAAACACCTGTCGTATAGGTGCAATTTATACAATTTTTGACTGTAGCTTCTCTGTTGCTGCATGATTTGTCAGCTTCCCTCAACCAGCATAGGACCACCACTGTCCACATAACATCTGGGCAGTCAACCATTTTCAGCGTAGCATTATTTGTACACTTTGGGCATGTGCAGTCAGACACTGTAGCTGATCTGGAAATGCTCAGTTTGTGTTAGTTGTCCTCTATCCCTTCATCAGTAGTTCGTTTCTGACCACAGGACCACTGTTGGCAAGGTGCTTTTAGGTGGTGGACCACTAAAAACCCAGCAGCCTCCATATGTTTTCTTTTTTAAAAGGTCCATATCATGTAAAACCAAGTTTTTCTTGCTTTTTTAAAGTTTCACAGTTAATTAAGCTGTAAAAACTGCTTGTTTTGTGATGTCACAAAAAAAACAAAACACCAATGCATTTACATATATCCACTTATTTGGTTTAGCTCCACCCCTTTGCACTGAAGTTATAGGGAATGTTTCAGTCTGGACTAAGGCAATAAGGCACAACACGGAGCAGCCAATCAGAACATAGCATACATATATATATATATATATATATATATGTATATATCTGTCTCAAAGGCACAGTAACAAAAGCAGCCTTTTTAATTCTAAGGAATAAAGCTTGGAAAATGGTCATGTAGAAATGAACTATTACAGTTTTTGGTACTTTAACCCAAGTGATATACAAGACAATTGTAGAAAATGGGCCCATTAAATGTTTGTTAATGCATTTGCTTGTCTGGTCAGTTGAGTGTGTTACATATCATACATGTGTGCGTTCATCAAGACAATTAAATCAATTTATTCTAATTCTGAAAACATTTTCTAACAACATTTCACAGAGAAAGTTTTACAATGTGTGTCGAATGATTCAACAGTGTTTACAGTCCTTATTTTCTTGTTTTTCCCCAAGTGTCCCCCTAATGTCCATAAACTGGACGGCTACATGTGCGATGCAGGACAGGTAATCCACTCAAACAGTCACAGAACTGACTAACACGCACTTTCTAGCACTTTCGTGAAGATGCTTTCAGTGTTATCTTGTGTGTGGTGAACAGTCCCACAGGCTCTGTCGTAACACACTGCCTCTCTGCCTCGCTCTGTCAGGGTCGTTGCTATGGCGGCCGCTGTAAGACCAGAGATGCCCAGTGTCAAGCGCTGTGGGGGCACAGTAAGTAATCAAAACAAATCATCAAAAAATACGTTTAGTTTTAATTACAAAAATAGGTTTCAGTGAGATCAGTAGATCACAGAACTCCACTCCTAGAAACCAAGTCCTTAAAAACTCTGAACAAAGTCTAGTGAAATAGATCAAACATGTGGAGCAGCTAGAGAAAGCTTAGCTTAGAAGGTCTTAGCTTTGCCTGTTTCTTGCATGTAGCTAGCACAAGTATGATAATCATTCAATTAATCACCCTTTATTTAAACTACCTTGAGGGATGACCCTACTTAACAGTGTAGCAGAGCAGTATACAAAACACAAAACAAGGGATTGAAAAGAGTAAATAAAAATTTATGATAGTAAAAGTACAGCACAGAAAATAAATGAGCCAAAAATGTATCATTATAACAATACATAAGAAAATAAATGCATGGGGTGCCAAAGTTTGTGCACCTAGCTTATATTTTGAATGATTAAAGTCTGTTAGTAACACCCTGTTAACCATATGAGACATCATAGTACCCACCTAGCAACACCCTAGCAACCATCTGGGATACCATAGCAACCACCTAGAAACCACCTGGGACACCATAGCAACCACCTATCAACATCCTTACAAAGCTTAAGCTGTGCAATCACTCTGCATTTTCTTCAGGAAGTGCACTTTTTCTAGTTTGCTAACTAGTTTACTGATATGATATTATTATAAATATTTTTTTTTCATCCAGCCATATGCCAAGGTACTTAGTGACCATTTCGATAGTGGATCCCTTCAGCGTAGTATGAAGATAAGAAGAATAACCATGTATAATCTTGTAAACACTTAATGCACATAAGCACCTAAAGTTAGCAACAGTCAGGCTTTTTGAAACATATCTGATGAAGTCTTTGGCACTAATAGTGCACTGTATTAGTAGCAGCTTTCGCATTTTTACATGAATTTCTTTCATTTTCAAATAGCTCTCCAGTCCTCAGAGGTCAGGTCAGTTGCTTGGCCCAAGTTCAGAATGCTAGTTGAAAGTATTAATTCAATTTACAACTAAGAAGTGTTTAGCTGTAAATGATCTCACGTTTTAGCTGCTCTTCTTCTCCAAAACCTTCAGAAATCTGCGCCAGCTGCTTTTAAATTTATAATTACAATGAAAATATAAAATATAAGTGGCTTTATTTTTCCTGTAACTAAACATGATGATGTTTATTAGATGAATGAGTATTAACAGTAAGTGTTTACAGTGGCTAACACATCACTGAAAATACCAACAAGGAGACCAGGAGCTGATGTGTTTCTTGTTTTTAGATGCAGCAGATCGTATCTGCTATGAGAAGCTGAACACTGAGGGGACGGAGAAGGGGAACTGTGGGCGGGACCCCAGTGGACAGGGCTGGGTCCAGTGCAACAAACAGTGAGTGATCTCTCACAGCCTACACACTGCAAGAGCGTTATGTACTCTTGTGGGTCTGAAGCTGAAGCTGTTATTCAGTTTGCCTGTTCCACCTTGAATGGTACAGTAGGTACCAAAAAACAATATTTGCTGGCCGTGATCTTTGGGCCCTCAGGCGGCACTGCATTAAAAACAGACGTGATTCTGTAGTGGACATCACTGCATGGGCTCAGAAACACCTCTGAAAACCACTGTCTGTGAAAACAGTTCATCACTGCATCCGCACTCTAAAACGCAAAGAAGAAACCATATGTAAACAGGATCCAGGAGCTCTGCCACGTTCTCTGGGCCCTGAGCTGATATAAAATGGACTGAGAGGAAGTGGAAAAGTGTCCTGTGGTCTGATGAATCAAAATTTGAAATTCTTTTTGGAACAGTCATGGACGCTGTGTCCTCTGGGCTAAAGATCACTCAGCTTGTTATCAGTGCACAGTTCAAAAGCCAGTATTCATGAGGGTATAGGGGTGCATTAGTGCACATGGCATGGGTGATGTGCACATCTGTGAAGGCACCATTAATGCTGAACAATATATACATGTTTTGGCAACACATGCTGCCATCCAGACGACGTCTTTTTCAGGGAAGGCCTTGATTATTTCAGCAAGACAAAGTAAAACCACATTCTGCATGTATTACAACAGCATGGCTCAGTATTAAAAGAGTCTGGATGCTAAACTGGCCTGCCTACAGTCCAGACCTGTCAGCACTGAAAACATTTGATGCAGTATGAAATGAAAAATACGACAAAGGAGACCCCGAACTGTTGAGCAGCTGAAATTCTGTATCAAACAAGAACAGAAAAACATTTCACTTTCTAAACTCCAGCAGTGTCTCCTCAGTTCCCAAACACTTACAGAGTGCTGTTAAAAGAAGAGGTGATGAAACAGTGGTAAACATGCCCCTGTACCAACTTTTTTCGAATGTGTTGTTGGCATCAAATTCAAAATGGGCATGTATATGTGGTTCAGTTCTGTTTTTATTATTTTGCTCAAAAAAAAATTCAGAATATATATATATATATATTATATATATTCGCTACCATAGTTTGTACTTTCATTGCCTGCTGCCTTAATATACAATCAAAATCATCGTTAAGTTCCTGACCTAAAATCTGCATATGTATGTCCCTTAAAGTTGTACTTACAAGTGCAAGCTTCAGAAACATTTTGATCCTTTCATTTCCAGTCACTTTCAAGGACTTAATGTCCTTTGCTATTCCAGCTTGCTGTAGGAAAGGAGAGTTTAAATAGCTAATGGTAGCTAATTTTCTATTTTTCTAAATATAATTTTCTGAATTTAAGTGGGCCATAGATATTTGTATACATCTGTAACTGTTAAGTGCATTATGTATATTTCTATATTGGGAGAAAATGTCCCAGAAGATGTTGAAAGACTTCAGTCTAGCCCAATAGCTAATATTCACCACATTTTTACAATGTACACCGAGAAAATGTTAGATTCCAAACAGATCAGCCTGGCTAACTAGCTTGTCATCAGCTTATTTATCACATTTTACAACAGACAGAGTGCAAAACGATTGAAAGATACCGAAGTAGATCAGGCTAGCTAACAAGCTAATGTGGCTTAGTGGTTTGTTTACCAGAGGGGCTTGACTAGCAGATTCTCTGTATTTCTGACTACAAAGCACTTGAACACAAAGACTTTGTAATTATAACTTTGCGAGTGGGAAATAGGATTTGACGAGTCTGTGAAGGCAACATAAAGTCACACTGTACCAGACAGAGAGGGGAACAAAGACACATGCGCTCCATACTGGAGAATGCCTTTCATACTGAACTGATATCGCCATGCAGTGTCGTTCTTTGTTCTTGTTTGACTGTTACTTCTTTTTTTGACACATTTTCCTCCCTCTCTCTCTCTCTCTCTCTCTCTCTCTCTCTCTCTCTCTCTCTCCTGTCTGTCTCAGAGATGTTCTGTGTGGCTTTCTGCTGTGTACAAATATGACGATGAAGCCGCGGTACGGAGATCTGCAAGGAGAAGTTACAAGCCTCACAATCTACCATCAGAACAAGTACCTGGACTGCCGGTAAGTGTGAGTCTAAAAGTAGATGCTAGTTACAAACAGTAGATATGAAACACTGAGACAGAGGGACGTGTCGGTACATGTCCACTGCACACAGAGCGGAATTCTCCATCTGATTCCTTCGCCGGGGCCTCGCCGCTCAAGGGGAGCGTCTGCCTACAATCCAGGACACGAATGAACTTGTCAATCAAAAATAAATTTTAAAAGCACATTATACTATATACTATATATTGGCTGGCTATATCGGCTAACAACCAACAACAACAACAAATATATTAGCCTACTGTAATTGTGATACTGTACAGTCTGTTGACTCACTAGGAGCAACAACAGTGTCAAATACTTTCTTAGTATTCTTTTCACTTTTGTCTTTGTATTCATTAAGTTTTGTATCCTACAGAATGGGGAACCCAGACACAGCCATTAGTAACTTTCTGTCCATGCTGTCCAGGTGGAACTGTGTAAGCCCGTCCTCGTTGTGCACAGACAATGGACAGTTGCATTTGCCTGATTGGTCAGTGCTGCGTGGCTGTTGTATGTAATTTGCCTAAACTGATTTGAGTTAAACTTTTCTAAAATATTCCCTCAAAATCCCTCACTCACTTTTTTTGCCGCTTCCTGTTAAAAATGAATATGGATGGATGGAAATTTGCGTGCAGTGGACACAAACCATCACTCTTGCTTTGATGTAAGTGCTAATGTGTGCACTCTGGATTTGGTTCAGTTAGTTATCGGGCCAGGATAATTGAAAACTTAAAATAACTAATCATTCTATTGTGTAGTTAATTGTGATTTGTTTTATTTGCTCAAAATTGACCTTTAAGAAAGATTGAGCCGTGCGTTTTGTTATAGCTATATGACTGAACAACGCATCATTTCCACAGAGTGAGCACAGTCTTTGATTTCCATCTCCAGCGTCCAGTGAGAGCAACACATGCCCCCAGCCCAACTGTTTTGAAACACGTTGCTTGCACCAAATTCAAAAAGGGCATATCTTTCTCAGAAACCAGTAACATTTCTCAGTTTCAACCTTTGGTATTTTGTCTTTGTACTATTTTTAATTAAATATTGGGTTTAAATGATTTGCGCATCATTGCATTTTGTTTTTATTTACATTTTGCTCAGCGTCCCAACTTTTTTAGAAATGGGCTTGTAAATAAGAGTTGTAGATGTGCTTAAAACATAATTATAGCATTATGTAATAAACATTGTTCAAAATAGGGCTGCACCTTACAATAAATGTATTTATTTATTTATTTATCGATTAATCTTCTGATTCTTTTTACAGTTATTCAGTTATCTAACAACAGATTTGATTATTCTAAGGATTTTTTTATTACTCGGAAAATATAACAATTAATTTACCCCAAATAAATCAAACTTTTCTCCTTAATATGTCAGTATTTTATTACATCATCTTACAAACTTGGTGGCAATACCACATGTCTGTGGTGAGCCCAATTTTTGATGTAACATTTTTGAGTTTGGGAAAAAACAGAAAGTACAGGATGTACTTAACTCTTAAATTTGGTCCAGTTTCTCTTTCCAAATGATGGACTCTGCCCTCTTACTGCATGCACTTGTGTTTTGTGTGTTTCTGCAGAGGAGGTCACGCAGTTTTGGAGGACGGCACAGATTTGGGTTATGTAGAAGATGGCACTCCGTGTGGTCCCAACATGATGTGTCTGGACCACCGCTGCCTACCTGTCATGACCTTTAACCTCTCCTCATGCCCGGGCTCGTCATCTTCACACATCTGCTCTGACCACGGGGTGAGCTGATCAAAACAATCATTTCTAATGTGATGGTAATACTCCTCAACACACGCTTCAGACTATGTCCAGGAAGTTGTAAAAATGGGATGTGAGATGTGTCCAGAGTGATGAGCAGCGCTGTAGAGTGACCAGGAAAGCTGCAAAACATCAAAAGTCAACAATTATTGTACAGTAAAATTAATATCCAGAATAAAATGTATTAAAGTTATGATCTACAATTAAGTTATAATAAACATATTGTCCAAAAGTGAGCTGTAATAAAATGACTGGAATTAAGTTCTAATGAAATTTATATCCACAATAAGGTTATAATAAAACTAATATCCAAATTAAAATTATAATAAAATAAGTATCTGGAATGAAGTTAACAAAAATAATGTCTAAAATAAAGTTCTAATAAAACTAATATCCAGAATAAAGTTAAACAAAATTATAAGCTGCAATAAGGTTATAATAAATATATTGTCCAAAAAGAAATTATAATAAAGATTTTGTCTGGAATTAAGTCCCGATAAAATTAATATCCAGAATAAGGTTCTAAAAAATTCATATCCAGAAAAAAGTTCAAATAAATTCACTATCTAAAATAAGATTATAAAACTCTATTATATATTACTCTATTATATTATATGAATATCCAGAATGAAGTTAAATCATATTAATTATAATCTACAATAATGTTGTCATACAAATATTGCCTAGAAGTAATTTATAATAGTTAAAATAAATGAATATCTAGATAGAAGGTCTAATAAAATTAATATCCAGAATAAAGTTATAATAAAAGTAATAATAAGAATAAAATTATAACAAAATTAATTTTCACAATGAAATTACAGTAAAAGTGTAATCTCAAAAAAAGTTCAAATAAAACTTAAAATCATAATAAAAAGATGTTCTAATAAAATGATAATTTAGAATAAAATTCTAATAAAATCAATATCCAAAATAAGTTCTGATAAAATTAACATCTAGAATGTAATAAAATAAAATTTTAAAAGCAATGATCAAAACTTAAAAAAAAGATTGTAATTGCATTATTTATCTTTTAACTTCAGTTTATTTCCAATAAAAAATAAAATAAAACATTGTCTTTAAATGTAGTGTTTAAATCTATAGTCAGCACTGTTGTTGTTGTTGTTGTTGTGTAAACAGAAATTCTTAAAACAACAACAATTATTAAAATGATGAGTGATTCAGAACTTTAGAATGGCACAGTATTACTACATCATTAAGTAGTCACTGTATTAGGTGACCATTCTTAACAGCCTTTTACATTCATAGTCAGTTGTAAGGATGTAATTCTGACATTTTGGCACCACTTTACACAGAATTCACCACTGACTGTCTTCAGACTCCCACACGTGGGGCTTTTTTCTGCATGCAATAGCACAGCCTAGTGGTACAAAGTAGTACTGCAGCAGTTAACAATAATTGTTTCTTTGTTTCTTTTCTCCACACAGAGTAGTGAAGCCATCACTTAATATAGTGATCTCACTGAATCAGCATGAAGTTTGATTAGAAATGCAGCATTAGGCAATAGTGGAAATAGTGTATGTTGTGCTCATTAAATGTCTGAAACTCTTATTGATCAAAACTTGGCATCTGGGAGCAGATTAAAGTGAGCGTGGGGGGGGGTATGCTTTTTATATTTTTTTTATATATATGTTTTTTTTTTTGATAAATAGGGGTTGTTAGTTTTAGAATTTATGTTGTTAGATGGTGACACAACAGGCACTGAAAAAGTTTTGTTGGTGAACTTTTATTTATCTGAGCCAAATCGATCTGGGTAGTACATAATAAGAGTTCTGTTGAATCAAGACCTTTTAAAGTATAAAATATTGAAAATCATATTGAACTTGAAACTGTCTGTGTCTGTATTTACATCGACCGACCACTTTATTAAGTACACCTCCTTGTTTCTACACTCATTGTGCATTTTATCAGCTCCACTTACTATATAGGAACACTTTGTAGTTCTACAATTACAGACTGTAGTCCATCTGTTTCTCTGCGTACTGTAATATTCTGTAATATTTGACCTGCAGCTAATTTGGTCAAATTCTGCTCCTGAACAAGCTTTTCGATCAGCAGCTGTGATGGAATAAATCAGTATCTAGATTGAAGGTCTAATAAAATTAATATCCAGAATAAAGTTATAATAAAAGTAATATTAAGAATAAAATTATAACAAACATAATATTCACAATAAAGTTATAGTAAAAGTATAATCTCGAATAAAGTTCAAATAAAACTAATGTTCAGAATGAAATTATAATAAAAAGAAAATTCAAAATGATGTTCTAATAAAACGATAAGTTAGAATTAAACTCTAAAAAAAACAATATCCAGAATAAGTTCTAATACAACAAAACAAAGTGGAATTATCCAGAAATGAACAGAATACAGTTCAGCAAACAAGATGGGCTGTGAAACGCTTTACAGACTGACCGGAACGAAAGAACTTTAAGGGTTAATGTGACAAATATTGAAAAATCTGAGCTGAACCTTATATTTAGATCTGGAAAACAGCACTACTTCTCTTTGGCTGAAGGAAAGTGCGATATTAGACCATTTGATTCAATATTCGGGGCTTCTTTGCTTTACTTTTTTGTTTGTTGTGTAAAAGAACACTTGAGGTTGTGTGTTATGATAAAATAACCTCACAGCTGTGATGATCTACTGTGCTTGCCTTTGACTCATGCCTGCAACTGAATCACAGCTGATGTTATTTGCAACAACACACTCCTTTATTTGTTCTATGATTTAAATCTTATATGTACCTAGTAATAGTTTTATCAGACATTCTTATTGCCTTATGACGAATTTAAAACATTTATTTTGTACTTCATTTTTAGCATATTAGCCTCGACGTATTAGAAATGCAGGACATTTATTGCATCATGTCAGTTGCTTGTTGTAGTGTTGATGTTTCTTGTTTCTCTCAGACGTGCAGCAACGAGGTGAAGTGTATCTGTGACACAGACTACACGGGGAAGGACTGTAGTGTGTATGACCCCATCCCTGACCCCCAGCTTCCAGAGGGACCAGAGAAATACAAAGGTTTGCCACCGTTTTTTAGAGTTCTGGGCCCAGTTTCCCAAAAAGCGCCATCTTAAATGGTAGAGAGAGTGTTCAGTGTGATGCTCTCTCTACCATTTGAGAGTAATATTTGTGGTGAGATGCTTTCGAGATACCTCTGTGAGCTTTGCTGATGTGGTTTCTGACACATTGTTATCTGTAAACATGCACAAATGTGTGTCACAAGGCTAAAAACAGAACTCTCAGACTTATTTTGTTTCCTTTTGCAGGTGGAATCTGGTCCAAAACTAAGCAGTTTATTCATTTATTTTAAGATGTGCATAGAATAAATGAATGTTCAGTTGATATTTTAAATGGAAACAAACTGGAATCCAAAACAGGACGAGGTAACTTTAGTATTAGCTACAGAACTCAGACAAATTCTTTGTAATAGCCGGAACAAGCAGTGTTTTTTCTCAGTATCAGATAAAAATCATTAACAATGTAGGCTAATAGCTAGTAAAAAATAGCATTAGATTAAAGGAGGCATGAGACACTTCTGACCCAGATAAAATAAGCATAAGGGATGGTTGACTTTAATTGCAGATGAGCTGGAGTCCAAGAGAGCATATTTGTCCTCAGTCCCTCCAGGTGGTTTAGATGACCCTCCCCCTTTCCTCCCCTGCGTACCAGCCAGTGCAGGCGTCTGCTGACATAACAGAGTTGGAGTTAATGTTCTCCTCCAAGCGTGTTGAGCTGTTCGTTGATGCTGTATTAGTGGCAGTTTGGAAAGATGCAGTGGTGCTTTGTGTTTCTCAGAGGAAACACATGCCTTCATTCCTGCGCGTGGTAGCGTTGTGTGATTGGGGAGAACTAGCTAGCAGCTACAACCGGACATGATTAAGAAATTAGTTAAAAAGCCAACTAATATTAAAAATATCAATCAGTGATTTAAAAACCTTTTGCCCAGCAGACAAAGAGGAGATTCAAGATGTACTTGCTTGAGGAATATTGTACAGAACACTGATACACACAGTGGGGACCAAAGGTCTGATACCACTAGAGAAAATGTTTCTGTTTTGCTTTTATCTCTAATTTACTACAAAGTGTTTTATTACAAATTATAAGTATATCAATCTCAGTGAAAAGATATACATATATATATATGTATATTCTGATTTCTGTTCTCTCTCTCTCTCTCTCTCTCTCTCTCTCTCTCTCTCTCTCTCTCTGCAGGACCCAGTGGTACTAATATAATCATCGGTTCATTGGCAGGAGCCATTCTGCTGGCAGCTATAGTGCTGGGGGGCACTGGCTGGGGATTCAAGTAAGAAAGCTTTAAGGGGATTTTTTTCCATCAATTCCAAATTTCTGCGTAATTTAGGGTTGAGATATAAACAGAGTCATTCAGAGTGGAAGTAGAGTGAAATAGTATATTGTAGAGAAACTTACAGGCTAGGATTTCTTTACAGTGGTGCTGATAGGAACCAGAGGTCGCCAGGTCTACAATACAAATATAGCCATTTTATTTACTATCCAGAGCCACCAGTGAACCTACACGTGTAATCTGAGTTTTTATATAAATGTTGACGATAATAAAATGTTAATAAATCTGCAAAAAATATATATATTTTTGGTTTATTTTTTGTATTTTAAGAACTTGTTTAAGGCCACATTATCACAAAATGACTATAAACAGCGTCAGATATCAGGCATTCCCAACCATTTCATATAATATAACTTTCTGTGAGGGGCTTTTAGAGGCACTAAATTCTTCAGACGTCTGGTTCCCATCACCACCACTGTGAACAATTTTTAGTTTCTCTAGAATGGAGCTTTTTACACCAAACCACTCTACATGACTTTGTTTTCTGGGAATAATTCCTCTTTACAAGCTGTAAATATGCAATATTAATTACGTAATATTTACGCTCGTTCTTTTTCTGTTTCTCTCTCTGTCTCTCTAATACGTCCACTGCAGAAATATCCGGAGAGGAAGGTATGACCCTGCTGAACAGGCCATGATGTGACGTCACCTCCTATTCGCGGGGAATTTTAAACTCCATCACCCTCAGCTTAAAGGAATATTCCAGCCTTTTTACATCTTCATCATGCTGTAGATTATCCCCATACACTCTTATGCTTTTCTCTGAGAGCTTAGAAAAGAACAGAAAACCTATTGACAAGAAATTCATGTGTAATAGAAGCCAATGGACAGTTGCAGAATACTTGTCAATGTGAATAACGAGCGTTTTCAGTGATGGGACTGGCTTTCCAGAGGGAGGAGTTTGTGGCCGTAGTTTCAAATTTGCATTATAAAGTCATGTATTTCAGATGTTTTTAAACTGAATTCATAATGCTCAGCAGCTACTATTGTAAGTGCTCTGTGATAAGGTTTTTGCCAATGAGCTCCTGATTTGAAATAAACAGGAGCACACAGAAAAATCTGAGCACAAATTTTATATTTCTTTGTTCCCCCTTTTTCTTTATTCCTCCTTTCAGTCAGCAGTCAGATAGTCCAAGGCCTTAAGGATGACCTGAACAATATGAGGAGCATTTTCAATCATTCAGTGTCTATTATGTCACATTTATTGAAACAGTGTTTCATGATGTAATTCAATTTTTATTATCTATTTTTTTATTAAAACAAGCTGCTAATTTTCTGAAGGAAGAGCCGTTGGAGTTGATAGAGTTTGATAGAGTTGATAGAGTTTGTTCTTATTGGTGATGTGAGCTGAGCAGATTGATCTGACTCACTGAAAAGAGCTGATTCCCATCACTAGTTGTGAGTGTGCAGCTGCTTTTCACTGCATTTTAAGTTCAACCCCGACACCACAGCACCACATTTTTCCCTAGTTTTAACTTCTCAGTGCAAGCAAAATAAACGCTCCATTCGGGATGTTCTTCTGTTGTATAAGTGGGCCAGTTAGCTGCTGGTTGTTTTGTTTAGCATCATTTTGGTAGCCTGTTTAAGTGCCAGCTTGCAAAATCAACACTTTTGGCTTTAATTTGATGAAAACAAAGCAAGTGTAAGCACTTTGCTCACATTGTTGAATCCTGAAATGAGTGCTGAGCCAAGGTTTTCTGTTCTTTTCTAATTTAAGGGAAACGTGTTGAAATGATTGTCTGTACTAATGGACCGTATCCTACAGGTGGACTGGAGTATTCCTTTAACAGGGGCTTCATTTCCAAAACAGAATCATTTCAGTTCATTATAAAGCAGTAAACTCAATCTGCTCCCACATCCTGAACAGTTATTGCACATAATTCTTAATCCTCATCATGTTTTGAACCCATTTCAGTCCAAATGCATGTTATTTTTTAGGGCTGGGCCAGTAAAAAAAGAAAAGAAAGAATTACCGATAAATATTAACACTGTCCAAAGAAAAACAAGTATCTCCAAAATAGTAACTTTACAGGAGAGGGCAAAAACACTCTTACCTTTCAATGTTAGTTTATGTAAAGAGATTTAACTCCAAGTGATTTTAGAGCATTTCTGTTGGTCCATTTATCATGAACTTTTCCCACGACATAAATGACAGCTGATGTGTTGAAATGATGTAGAAAAATAAAAATCAACAAAAATAGAGACACGTGGTTTTCTTTGGACAGCGACGATATCTAGGACAGTTTCTCTTCGTGCAAGATGGAGCCTTAAGGCTTTTTCACATGAGTTTAAGTTGTGCACCCAATAAAAAACACATCTAAACGTCGTGTATATTACCACTAAAGACATTTTCAGTGTGTTGAAAATCGCATCCGCTCTTTTTCATACTTATCCTTTTAACTGTCGGCCCATTTTTGCCTGAAACGATATACCTAAAGTAAAAGAAGCACTGATCCCTCATATTTTGGGCTACAGTGATGATCATGGTCTAATTTGAAAGGTAACACTCAAGTTTTTTTTCCCAACTGTGAGAATAATTGTATGAATTCCTGACGTAACAGAGGCTAGAATGGAGAAGGATTTCCGCTTGACTCATAGACCTCTAAACTGATCTCTGACTCTTGCCGTGTTACAAAGACCACATGTTTTGGATTATGATGTCTGTGGAGAGCAGTGAGACTTTGAAAATGAGGACCCACAGATTTGCTAGCGTTTGCTCGTTCTGTGCTTATGTTGCAAATGAGACAATCGTAAAATCATAAAATGGTTTGCAGTAATAGAATCACTTTCAAACGGTATATTGCGTCACCGTATTGCTGGACAGTTTAATGCATAAAAATAATGTATAAAAAAGGAAGTGTTTGTATCAGTACAGTGATCTACATAAGGTTGAAAACTGACTCGCGACGACTAAACGCTATTATTAATAATAAAAACTGTTTCTGCGCTGTGTAGCTGTAATAGGACTGTCTCTCACTCAGAGGACAGTGCATTGCTGTATGTGTAAATGTACTGCAGCCAGGGCCGGATTCACAAAAGTGTCTTAAGAAGGAAAATCTTCCTAAATGTGCCTTTTTTCTTAAATACATACATACATCATCTAAACCGCTTATCCTTCTGGGTCGCGGTGGGGTGCTGGAGCCTATCCCAGCTGTCACTGGGCGGAAGGCAGGATCTTAAATACATACCCAAGAAAAAAAAAAAGTGCAATTATTATCCTTCAAGCAAACTTCTTAAGACTTTTTGTGTGATAATCCTCTAAATTGTAACTTCTAATGAGTTTCAGAACAGAATCGTTCAAATAAACCCAGGGGGATTTGTCCTGTAGGCTGTTTCCTCCACCATCACTTGTAGTTCTTGTTTGCTAAACGTTTGCTGAACGTTTTTGTTTTGAGCTCATTTTGCTGGTGCTGATGTGAAATGTAATTGTAATCTGTGAACTGAACTACAAGACATAGCATTTAGCCTGCTTTTCAAAACAGGTAAGACTTTCTTTAAAAAAGTAACTAAGACCTTTTAAGAGAATATTTGAGAAGTTTTTGTTACGAGAACTCATAACTTCTTAGTGTTTTTCTTAAGATCCTTTTGTAAGTGTTTTCTTAGGAAAGCTTTTGTGAATCCGGCTCCAGGACTGGAGTTTCAGATCACGGATCGGAGAAAAAGCACTCATTCATATGAAATGGAAAGAAAAAACATAAATACTCAATATTGATTTCAAGGCTGTTAGCGTGATTATCAGTAAATTGTTAAGTGGTCCCAGCCCTATTTTCCCCCCAAATTCAGTGTTTTAGTGTTTTACTGGACGCTACAACACCCAATAAGTAACTCCCCCAACACTCTGACCTAATCCACATTCTTCATAACCTTAATCCGAGTTTTCATCCACAAACCTGTCGTCATTGCCATGCGTTTTGCTCAGCTGCTAACATTGCTTTTGTTTGTGTGAGCTGCTTTTTGTACTCTGTTAAAAAAAAATCATTTTTAAATTTGAAGTTGTTGAAGATATTTTTGATAGGCCAGATTAAGTGGCGAATAAAGGACAGTCCTGCCTGGAGTGAACTGTTAAATGTTTTTTTAATGCTTGATTGTTCACCGTTCTCACCGTCTTCTCTTTCCTTCTCTTTTCTGTTCTTCTCTTCCTCAGATCTGGAGGAGGATAAGAAGTCTGTCCATCCACTGTCCTGTCCTCTTTACCTACACTGTGTTCTTTTCATTTTGAGCAGAAGGGAGGAAAGGGGGGAAAAAGAAAACGTCTTCCACTCACTCAGAAAACTACAACCTCCACGAGCCCTCACTCTTACGGTTTCCTGTTTCCTGTCTTTCACCTCTTGCCTCTAGTCTGCATGGTAGGAAGAACATTCCAGATTATTGCCCTAGGCTTTATATCGGAAAGATGCTGATCTAGCTCCAGCTAGGCCTGTCCAAGTCTTTGACAGTTGTCCAGCATCAAAACTGGACCTTCTGCTCCCTCAAATGCATTCTTTCATAGCTGCTGTTGTCTTTCATAGCGAGTTTGGACAAAAAAGCTAAAGGCTAAAATCCCGTTCAACCATCAAATCCTTACATTTAAGTGCATTATTAAATTATAATTATGTTTATTTTGTAGGCGTTTGAAAGATCACACTGTCAGGACAGATCAGGAGTGCTTTTTGTTGTCTAATCACAGTTTCTGATTGATAGATTAAGCATAACGTGCACCAGCTTCTCTTTCAGCATTGCTAGATAGCCAAGTTCATAGCCTGCAGCACTAGATACTGTAGCACGGCTGAAATGATCATGGAACAATGAAATTATAGTGATTTAGGTAGATATCAGCATTTTCCCTGTCATTTCACTGCCATATATGCTGACATTACGACAAAAACAGAAAGTGCAACATCACGTTGCCTTGAGCTACTGTGCAAAAGTGTATGCGCCCCTAGAAAAATGACATTTTGTCGAGTTTGAGTGAAAATAAGTTCCGCCATCCTCTACACAGAGCACATGATAATGCACAGTTGCTTAATTGAAGATATTGGGAAATAAAATACAACATAAAATGTGTCCTGTGCAGAAGTTATGGCACATTTTATATTTTATGATTAATTTTTTCCAACATGTTAAGCTTCAGCAAGTAAATAGAAATTGCTCACTAAAATTTGTAGAAAAGTCATTTAAGTTTGATCACAGTAGAGGAAGTACTAACTTGTCACGTGTAATTTGGCTGGGGGTGTTCAAGCTTTTGCACATGACTGTATATCAGTAACAGAGATGGAGAACGACAAATGTGTGGATTTAAGGAGCTTCACTTTGTTTCTCCTGATTATCTCTGATTAGAAGGACCGAGGTGCATTAACATACCTCTTTGGTGATCCGATTATAAGTGGACACCGTCAGTTACAGGTGTGAATTTGGTCTCATCTGTCTCAAACCACCTTTTAGCCTTTGTAGTGTGACCGCTAAAGAGTCTCGATGTGTCCCTGACATCAACAAAGGACCAACTGCATCATCAGAGCAGATAAAAACAGCAGATTCTTTCTTTATCTCATCTGCTGTTTGTTAGCAGTTTAAGTGTTAGGATCAGCTCGTAGATTTACACGGACAAGGACTCGCAAACACAGCGAGAGACTGATATGGCGTACATGCACGCTGCCCGTCTTCCAGTCAAGAAATCTGATCATAGATGGTCACTGGAGACGTGATCTGCTCACTCAAAATCTCTGCACGGTGACATTGTTGAGATGTAAACAGAGTCATTCAAAGTGGTTTGATGTGAAATGGTTCATTGTAGAGAAACGTATAGACTCAGATTTCTTTACAGTGGTGCTGATAGAAACCAGGAGTCACCATGACTACAACACAAATATTTTATTTACCATCCAAAGCCACCAGTGAACCTACACGTCCTATATGTTTGTATAGTGCCGCTGTCGGATCTAAAACTCGCATCTCCAAAATGTTTGGGGTCATTTGTTATTATAGTTATTCACTATGAAGTTATTTTTTTATTTATTAGTATTATTATAAATCATAGAGTGTAGATTGAAATGCAGTGTAGGTTGAAATTTTGGAAACAACATAAGGTCGGGATATAATAAGCTGTAATTTGTTGTGTTTTGGAGTTTGTTGTCACCACTACTGTTTAATTAGCGAGATTTGGTTTTGGTTTGGTTTTGTCTTCAAAGAAATAGAGGTTCTTCAAAGAAATTATTTTATATGAATGAAATCAGTGACCCCACACTTTTGAGAGGTAGTGTACTTTACTTTTTATAGATGTCCATGTAACCAGGCTTATTTCCAGGTCATTTTGGCCCATTTCTATTGGTCAATTCATCATGAAATTTACACACAATGTAAAGGGCAGCTGGCAGGTTTAAATTATGTAAAAAAAAACATAATGTAAGTGGTAAAATAGTGGTACAGATGAAAAAAAGTTTTCTTTTGGGTTTGTTTTGCCTTACAATTGATATTAGGCCAAAACCTGATCTCAAAACTGTCATGGCACAGTGTCTCAGGCAGACAGTGCATTCATAACCATTTCATGTTATAACATTTTATGAGGGAGCTTTTAGAGGCATTACACTCTTTGGACGCCTGGTTCCACCACTGTGACCAATACTGAGTTTCTGAGTTGCTCTTCAAAGCTTCATTTCACCTTAACCCACTTGGTGACATTCCATTTTAATACCAAGTTCAAATATAATGGCAAAGAAAGAAAAGGATTTGGCCTTGCGTGGCTGAACCTAGATCAGCAGAAATGGGCACTTTCTACCATCTGACTTGGGCCTAGCATTCAAGTGGATTTCACATAGATATTAGATATTATAGTAACCAGTCTTTACTCTATTCTGAGTCTGATTTTAGCTGGTAATCCGGTAACTGAATATAAAAACTCCACAAATTCTTCCATAATTCATCTCTTAGCACTCAGTATCTTTAGTGAATCCGGTAGCACAGCATTGGCTCGACTGCAGAGGCATTTCTACTAACATTCCTTCTTTATCTAACCCATTTGAAGTGTATTACGATGCTGCTTTTTTCAATATCAGCCATCTAGGAATTTTTAAATACGCCTGACATTATATGCATAAACATTTGAATGTAATTTTAAGCACGGCGTTGCATTTTTTGGGTGTCCATGTGTGTATGGACTTGGAAATGTCTGTACGATATCATCACAAGCACATAGCTAACTTTTAGGTAGATATATAGCTAAGAAATTGCCATTAAATATGTGTAAGCTGTAAATGTTATACAGGGAGCGCTGAGTATACGCGTCCCATGTGAAAATGGAATATATTGCAATGCATTTTCAATATATTGCATTTTGTCGGGGCTAAAATTGAATGTGGGCACTTTTGTAAATAATGTAAATATAGAGGATCGGCTGAGAAATGGATCACAGACATAAGCACAAGCGTTCAATTTTGGAGTCAAGGATTTTTAAAAGTAACAGAGACGTTTGAAAATAAATTTATGAATTTAACAGTGTTGAATGCTACCTATATCAGATAATGTTCCAACAAAGACAACAGAGTTCAGGTTTCTCTGAATTTTACATAAAGTTCGGTATGTTTTTATGGTTTTATCTCTCTGCACCAACTGTTTAGATAAAATACTCTAGAACACAGCTGATAGGACTGCCAGCTTGCAATTGCAACCCTACAAGGCGATCCCTTTAGAAATGACAGCACTTCTTGTACATACACATGCTGTTGAAAGGTACCGAAAGTGTTTGGACAGAGTAATCTCATGTCCATCGTGGTCAGCTGTCATTGTCTCGTTTCAAATCCAAACTGCTGGAGTGATGAGCCAAGAAACGTGAGGTGACTATCTCTCAGGGTAGGAGCGACGATGAAGGATCAGGGGCCGGATTCACAGGTGTTATAATAGGGGTGGGCAATATGGCAAAAATATATCAAGATACTTTTCAGATACTTTTTAGATTTTCACAATACACAATATGTAACAATATGTATGTAACTGACACAGTGCACTAGTAGCACCACCGTTAAAAACTGCCATGAAAAACCAATTGATTTTTGGGCTCCTGAGTGGTGCAGCCGTCTAAATGTTGGCCCCCATCATCAGGAGATCACAAGTTCGATCCCTGGTGATGCTACAGCCATCCATGGTTGGTAGTCCAAAAGAGCACAGCTGGCCTCGCTCTCTGGGTGGGTAGGATGGCCCCCCGTCACTCAGCGCGATGCTAGCCAGCACAGGCGCCCGTCTGGTTGGCGCTTTCCTCCGAGCGCGTTCAACTGTCCAATGACGTTGCCTGAGCAGCAGTTTGAAAAGATGCGTTGGCGCTTCACAGGTCTCAGAGGAAGCCTATGCCAGTCTTCGCCCTCCTAGCACTGGTGGTATGGTGTGATTGGGGGAGCCCTAAATAGTGGGTGGAATTGTAGATGACTAAAATTGAGGAAAAATAAAATGATTGATTTTTATTCAGCATTTAACATACCTGCTCTGCACTAAACTAAGAAAGTAGTAATAAGTTAAGATCTTCTTTTATTGAAACATGCAGCTGTTCAGTACTGATAACTTCCCCTTATCTCAACAGCATAATTGATCACAATATTGCCATATTGCCCACCTCTATGTTGGAGGAGAGAAAATAAACTTAAATGTGATTGTCACTTGTAGAGCTGCACTACGTAAGACTTTGTATTAAAATTGAAAGAAGTAGCATTATTGATTCGGAAGAACCAAAACACGTTAAAATGTCGAGTCGCCCTGTAAAGCCTTAAATAATAACTGAAAAGTCAGTGGCGTCAGATTTCGAGTTTTTCACCCCACATCATACGTCTTTACGTATGATTAATGTCACACACACAGGCTCTAAAAGTAAAGTAAGATATGATGATAATAGTAGATAATTCACTCACGTCCTCAGAAGACACATCAGTCGCCAAGTTTTGACTGAGTTCTCTTTACGCTCGCAATCATTGGATTCATCCGCTTGGGGAAGGGGTCCGAAGCACAACCCATGCTACAAAATGTTGCTCCGGTTGTTGCGTGCAATTACATGTTTCTGCCAGAGAGGTCTCTAAATCCCCAACACGTACATAGTGCAGCTTTAAGAGAAAAAAGTGTTGGGGGGGGGTTCTCATTGTGTTTTTCTAAAGGTGGGATAAGCACAAGGTGCACTATACAGTTCTTTTTGCATGTGTGCAATGTGAACCCCCCACTCTTCAGAAATAAACTCAGACCATTCAACAAGCAGTTCTCAAACTGGGGGCCGTGGTTGGTGGGTGGGGTTGTATCTCTACATAGCAAGTTTCTGTTTTGTCAGATTAGTAAAAGACTACAAAGGAATTGTTGCGATTATCTTATAAAATTACGTTAGGTAATTTGTGTGTGAATCCGACCCCAGATTATTTACTGAAATTTACCGCATCAGCCAGTTCCATGAAACGAGAATGAGCCAGT